TTTAGGAAGGCAGCTTTGTTTCAGGGCTGTTGTTGAACTGCGATTCACTCGGGGTCTTGTGGTGGTAGATGTGGTGAGAAACATTGCTGTGTGAATCCCAGAGCTTATATAGCTCGTGGATTGTGCTGTGGAATCAGTGGGGTATGGGAATCTAACCCTAGGTGCAGCCAGGTTATTATTTGCTTTTATTCCTGCTCTGTTAAATGCACGAGTCAGTGACAAGTGACAGGTCACACGAAGCGTGGCTTCTTGTCAGCGAGAGCCCTAGATACTCAGACATGTCTGTAACTGTGATATTTGTCCTGGGTGTGTTCATGACTACTGACATGATTGCAGCATTTAGATATCGGGCTTGAGTTTGCAGAAAGAGCAGAAAGAAAGCAGAAAACAAAAGTTTAGCATGGCAGGCTGCGAGTCCAACCTTTCATTCGTCACATCTTCTGTTAAACACCTGTTTGGGGGCAGTGAAATAGACTACAGCAAGCTCTGGACTTAGATCTGTTGAATGTTGAAACTTCAGCTGTGCTACCTAAAGCTTTGTGATCTTGGGCAAGTTACCTAACCTTTCTGCTCCTCAGTGCCAGTCCCCTCTAAAATTGGATCAGTGTTAGACCCCTCTTGCTGGGGTGGTTGTGAAGATAGAGACACTCCATGAATGGCTCCACACATTTTACTACGATGGGTATTAGTATATGCCATGTTCCAGATCAAAGTGTGAACTTACTCGGATTGGACAGCCAAATGTTAGTTAAATAATGCAGATTACCTCGCAGGGACCTGGCCTCATGTAACGGATTGGAGAAAGCTGAGAAAATGTGGTTTGACCTAACTGCTGAAGGATGGCTGCATTTGCTATGTGAAACAAGGTGGCAAGGACATTCTGGTCCTGGCAAGAAATCTGGTACAAGCTTCCTGTGGTCCTCAGTTACAAGGAGGCTGTGGGAGCTGGGCATGGTGACACATATCTGTAATCCAAGCACCTGAGAGGCTGAGGCAAGAGCACTGCTATGGATTTGAGCTCAGCCAGGCTACATAGTGAGTTCAAGGAATTCACGGCAAGACCCTGTCTCAAAGATAATGAAACAAAATAAAACAACACAACCACAAACAAAACCCAAAGGCAGCTTTGGTGGAAAAATAGAAAGGAAGCCATCATGCCACAGGGTCCCACAGAACACATCAATGACCAGGAGCAGATGAGTAGTCAGGCCTCGTGTGCGGAATTCTGTGGGCCGCATTTAGGATCTTTACCCCTAATTTGAAAGCAGAAGGATGTCACTGCAGGGTTTAAGCAGGGGATGGATGTGATCCAATCACATTTCCCAAAGCTCACTGGCTGCTGGGGAATGGCTAGGAGCAGAGCCACATGGTCACTATTAAGAGCCCTGATCCACGCTTTTTCTGATGATCTTGTCCCCCAAACCTCCTTGATGGGCAACAGGGATCCCTGCATGTGCAAATACAGGTGCTCAGGACCCCACCTGAGGGATGGCAGTGGAAAACGCAGTGATGAGGTATGTAAAGATGAAGACAGCCCAGCTCCACATTCATTCATTCATTTATTTTTTTTTTTTTATAGACAGAGTCTCATTCTGTAGTACAGGCTGGCCTCAAACTTACATTGATCCTCCTGCCTCAGCTTCCTGAGTGCTTGGATTACAGGGGCGCAGCACCACACCTGGCTCCAGCTACACTTTATAAAGCAATTTTTATTTTATTTGTTTTGTTTTATTTGTTAGAGATAGGGTCTTACTAGGTAGTTCAGGCTGGCCTTGAACTCATGTAGCCCAGGCTGGCCTCAAACTCACAGCACTCCTCCGGCCTTATCCTCCCAAGTGCTGGAACAACAGGAGTGCACCACCATGCCCGGTTTAAAAGCAATTTTTAGGAAACTCCTGAAGAGTTAAAACTGCAACTTGGCTTGACTTTAAATGTAGTGTTTTGTCCATGACTTTTTTATTTTGTTGGGATTAATAAAATGAGAAGTACAGGCACATAAGTAGCTCAGATGTGGTTAGTGGTGATTGAATCATTTATACTCCTCACCCGGGTCTGGGTTTAACATCAAGCACAGGAAAGGTGCCAGTGCCACTCTCAAGGGACAGCGTTGTTCACCTCTTTGAATTCATTGTGGGCTTGAGCCCAGGGCTGCTTTGGCCCCAAAGGTATTGATCAGACCTTGCCCAGCTCTTTTATAAAGTTATTAGAGTTAAAGATAAAGCATATTAGATACCCTAGTCTTAGTAGATGGTCAAAAAATGATAGGCAGTCCTGCGTGTTTCTTTCCACTGTGGGTAAAATGTGATTTGTGGAAAAATCCTGGACTCAAATAGGCCCACCTATGTGCTATTCTAAGTTATGTAGACCAGATTTTCTACCAGCTTCATCTGTCCATCTGTTCATCAGCCCTTGCACCCATCCATCCACCCATCTACCTATCTAACCATCCACCCACCCACCACCAACCTATCCATCCATCCATCCATCCATCCATCCATCCATCCATCCATCTATCCACCCAATCACCCATCCACCCATCCACCCATCCACCCCTCTACCCAGCCAGCCAGCCAGCCAACCAACATATACAGTCTCTTTAGATAGACCTAGGAACTAGCACCTGGAAATAGAGTTATGGACTCTCACTGAACATTGCTCAGGGAAAATGCAATATTAAAAAGAAAAAAGCCAGGCATAGTGACACGCACCTGTAATCCCAGTGCTCAGGAGGCTGAGGCAGGAGTATCGCCATGAGTTCCAGCCTGGGCTACATAGTGAGTTCAAGACCAGCCTGCACTATATAGCAAGATCCTGTGTCAAAACAAACAACAAAAGAAATAGCTATTTACAATCCAATCTCTATGTCTTGATTTACCATGCTGGGCATGAAAGAACCTCCAAAGCCAGGTTTCTTCTTGCAAAAGCTCCTCTGAGACAGTGTCACCATATAGCCAAGATTGCTGTGGGGTCTGGGACCTCAGCTTCACCCTAGTGGCTGGAGACACTTCCATGCCATGGGAGCAACAGGTACTCAGCCTTGGGCTGCAGGCAAGGTAGGTGAGTCCAGCCCCGAGATGGCAGGTGTGACATGTGGTACCAGAGGATTAATTATTCAAGGTGGCAGGATACTGGGGATTAGGTGAAGGTCTCCGGGTTTTTATCTTCCCTCTGGAAATGATAGAATTTCAGTCTTGGATGATGTCAGTAACATCCCTCACTCAAAAGGGACCCTCCAAGAGTCTATTTAACTTCCAGGTCTCCCACTGCAAAGTGTTTAGAAGCCCTTCGAAGCTCTGAGTAAGGTTGTAGTTGCCTCTCTGTCTATGGTTGGTTTTTACTCCAAAGTCTTGAAAATAAGCAGTTAAGAAACTGGACTTAGCTTGATATGGTGGTGCATGCCTATAATCCTAGCACTCAGGAGGCGGAAGCAGGAGTTTGAAGCTGGCCTCAACTACACAGTAAAATTAAGGCCAACCTGAACTATGTAGATCGTGAAACCTTGTCTAAAAAATAGAAATCTGAACTTTGAAATATCTCTGCTACTGAAGAACAGGTGACACTCTGGGGACATTTAGCTGTCCCCATCTGGGCCTTTTTCAGGGTGTTGGTGCCAGGCAAGCAGACAAGGCACTGGCCTAAGAAGCCAGAAGATCTGATTTCTCTCCTGAAACTGTGGGCAGCCCTGGCCAAGTTCTGTCACTTCTGGCGTTGAGTTTAACCTCAGATAACCACCACTCACTGGTCCTCTAATGGTCAAGTTGTAACAGAAGGTTACAAAAAGATCTACCAACTGCAACATTCTCTTTTTTCAACCCACAAAGAGGACCATTTGTGTTACCTTTTGTATTTTAGTTTTCAATGTCCTCTCCTGTACTAGATTACAAGCTCTTTGAATCCCCTTCTTATACCTGTATACCATGGTAGCTCCTAGAAAGTGTAGCAGAGTGCTTTCCACACAGTAGGTATTTCGCAGATATGTCGTCTTTCTTGATTATACACTGCATAGGGAGCTCTACACGCAACCTATTGGTGGCCAAGCACCTCTGGAAGCCACCCAAGTAGCAGTAATTGACAGATAGGGTGACCAAGTCATGATGAATGGTGCAACAGTGCAGAGGGAAAGCTACATGCTTCTCTACCAGCTGTTCCTTTCTGGTGTACTGAAGGAAGAGTGGGACTTTATGACGAAGGACTGACTCATGTTCCTGCACTGCTGGAGTCAGAAGCTGTTTTCTGACTGAGATCACAGCTGTTTACTACTTTCTGCCTTTATGTTGTGGATGGCAGAGGGACTTCGGCGAGTGGTATCGGTTACCACTGAGTCAAAGTATTTCTGACTTGAAACACCCAGGTCACGTTATCTGCCAGGTCATTGGAGTTTGGACTCCATTTCCGGTCTAAGATGCTTTAATTCGTTGGTGGTGGTGGTGGTGTTGGTGGTGTGTGTATGTGTAGCCATTTGTGTGTGACTTTGCACTACAGATGCTTTGGACGTTGTGAAATTATTCACACCGAGTACTGATGCTTTCATTTTTGTCAGTGTGGTAACAGTTTTAGGCTTCCGGCTCTTACTGATGCAAGTTCTTGTGGTGGTAGGATGTGGGTCTTTTCCCAGCTTGTCTCTCACCTCCAGGTTAACAGACTCAGTGCAACTAAACATTTAAGTAGCACAAGAAAAAAAATCAATATTATTGTATCGTCTACCCCAGGGATGGAAGCATAGAAACCATCCTGCGTTAGTGTGTGCCGCTAGAGAAGAGCCAGGCAGTGAGACTGCCAGCTCGAATTGTTTTCCATAGATCGTGAGAGTGAGAAGTACATGTGAGTCACACTCTCAACTAGAAGAGATATTTTGCTAATGTCTTGAAGTGGGGAAATAATCTCTCTCTGGGATTTAGGAAAGACTAGAAGTAGGGAATTATGTTTCTTATGAGGAACCTTTTCCAAGTTGTGCTGCCACTTTGTGGCCATTAGTAACTGATTGTGTCTGTCTTCCGTAGCTTGGAATTGCAATTGGGTTCTTGGTCCCTCCGGTTTTGGTACCCAATGTCAACGACCAGGACAAGCTTGCCTACCACATCAGCATCATGTTCTACATAGTAGGAGGTGTGGCTACTCTCCTCTTCATCCTGGTCATCATCGGTAAGGTCATCAGTAGACTGAGAAGTGGGCAGGGAGGTGCAGTTGCCTTTGGTAGGATCCTTAGGAACATGGCCCTAAAATACCTTGGACTTTCACAGAAAATGGAGGCCAGGCTGCTAGGGTCTTCCAATGTTTTAACCTGTAAAGTTTCCCCCAGTACAGTTCCCAGCTAATCCTGTGTACTTTGTCAGTGGCTCAGTAGTCTCCAGTTCTACTTCACCAGAGTTGGGTAGCATGCTGGTCCCTTTGATGAACATTCTGTGAGATCCCACACCCTCAAGGAACTGTGTTAAGAACACCTGACCTCAGGTGGGTAAGAGTACCTGACCCACAAGTAACCTACTATATTGGTCCCATTTACAAAGAAAAATGAGACTTGCTGGGCCTGGTGGCACACACCTTTAATCCCAACACTTGGGAGGCTGAGGCAGAAGGATCATTGTGAGTTTGAGGCCAGCCTGGGCTACATAGTGAGCTCATGGCCAGCCTGAACTGCATAGAGAGACCCTGTCTCAAAAAGAAAAAAAAAAAAAAAAAGACTTGAGGGAAGTTATGAAAGTTATTCAAGATTAGATAGATAGAGCCAAAGATATAGCTCAGCAGCACAAGTGCCTGCCTGATAAGCGCAAGGCCCTGAGTTCAATTCATGGTACCAAAAAAAAAAAAAAAAAAGATTAGATAGGTAGATTAGATAATCTTATTTGAGATTAGTGGCAGACTGGATTCAAATCTAAGTGTTTCTAACTTCATACTCCAAATTTCTAAAAGAAAAACAGAAATTTATCTACAAACATGAATAGTGTCAGTGGTTGAGTTGAGAATACTCAGAGGCTACATTTCTCAGATGCTTTTCAAAAGAATTATAAATAGTTATTGTTCTTGTTGCTGAGACAAAATACCCAACACCCAAAGTTAAAGGAGGAGAGGTTTATTGTAGCTCAGTTTATAGAGGTTTAAGTTCATAGTTGGCTGGTTCACCTGAAGGATGGCATGGCAGAGGGGAAACACAGAGGAGAAACAATTCCTGGTGGGCAGAAGGCAGCAAGCAGCCAAGTAGCAAAGCAGCAAGCGATGACAGCCACCCTCTTTCTGTCCTTTATATTATTTCCAGACTATGCACCCTTATGGAGGGTAGCACTCACATCCAGGGTGGGCCTTCACATTATCCATACCCAGAGCTATGCCAAACCAATCAGTGGACTAGTAGATCATAACCATCAATCTCAGGTAACTACCATAACATTTTATATGGACATACATTTAATCATGGAGGCATTTGATCAACAGAATTTTATGTCTTCTGTTTTCACCTGAGGGATGTCATGTAAGTGTGGATTAATTCAGAAATAGCAAAGTAGAAGCTGTCATTTTCAGTTAGTCACCTGCCTAAAGGTTAACTAGTTTGTCCCTGATGCCTCAGCGTTCCATCTCCTGTGTTAAAGGTTTCATTACTGCCTGCTGGCCTGACCCCCAGAGTCAGACGGTTCTGTAACTGTGCACCTCATCTAACTGTTCTCACTCTTTACTCCCGCCATGGATCCGGTACAAGAAGGGGCTGCCTGATGCCTTTTAAAACTGGCAGAAGCCAGGTGCACACCTGTAATTCCAGCACTCAAGCAGCTGAAGCAGAAACATCATTGTGAGTTTGAGGCCAGCCTGGGCTACATACCAAGTTCTAAAAAAAAACCACTAAAACTAGCAGAATATCACAGACAGAGGCCTAGGTGCCTTGGGAAGGTTAGAAACAGGGGCGCTATAGCCATGAGCAGGGAAGAATGATACAACCATGGCATCTTCCTCAGCTAGACTTTGAGTTTTAAATTGTAATGTGGCCATCAGCCAGGCATGGTGGCACACTCCTGTAATCCTAGAGCTTGGGAGGCTGAGGCAGGAGGATTGCTGTGAGTTCAAGACCACCCTAAACTACATAGTGAGACCCTGTCTAAAAAGAAAAGGTAATGTGGCCAACTCCAAATTCTTGTGTGTATAGCAGATGAGGGCCTAGTTCTTTACAACTGAAAACCTCGAAGGTAGGACATTTCTTTTTGGCATTTTATTATCAAGCACAGGTAGTAGCTAATTCAGTAAAGAATGGAAAATCATATCTGACCTCCAGTTTATGGCTGCCAAATCCTTTTTTTATTTTATTTTTAAATTTTTCTTGCATTTTAAAAAATTTTATTGGTACATTTTAAATATACGTAATGATCACATTCATCATAGGGAATTTGTATCTGTACACGATGCAGCTTGCTGCTTTTTTCCCATCCCCCTCCCTCCAGCGCCTCTTCCTCTCCTTATTTACTCAAGCTTTTTTCCTGCTATTCTCTTTTCTTTTCCCCTCCTCCCTTGTTCCCCTTCCCATTTGAACTTTTTCTTCCCATTTCCAATATCTATTATACATGTTGGCTCTTAATTACACTTTCAATTTCTCACACCGGCTACTGGTACAGAGCTGGCCTTGCTCTTTCCTGATGGAAGGGGGGCGAACAGGTAGGACAATGAGGAGGGGTTCCCAGTGGGTGGAAGTTCTGCAGGACTCTTTGTGGAGGAAGAGGAAGCAGCTCTGAAGTCAGGCCTGGAGTGTTTTGGGGGTGGGGGCCCCTTTGATCTGCCAAGAGAGTAAACCTTATTTCCAGAGCTTCCTGTCTTGGAGAGAGCCTGCTGCCCTTTCAGGAGCCATCACAAAGCATGGGAAAGCCATGCGCCCCTTACTTAGCCTCAGCCCTGGGACCAATTTAGCCAAATAACTAATTAAACTGTCCTCGGAATACCGAAAGTCACTCTGTGGTCAAAACAGTCATACGAATTGCACTGAAATAGAGATAAAAGGAGTGGTTTTCCCACATTCCTTCTCTGGCTCTTGGAATCAGAATCAGCTTGGAGGAATGCAGCTTATTCTTGTCTCCGTCATGAGGCAGATATCTGACCCAAAGTTGCCAAGCTAGGAATGAACTCCGTGCTTTGCCTATAGAAGAAGAGCCTTTCCACTTACTGACCCCGGGAATATGTTGGTGTAGCTGCCTCATGCTGGACCCTGTGCCAAACATGGGCAACACAGGCCCCACGCCCTCAGAAGGAGGCCTGGAGCTAAGCCATTAACTGGGCTCAGGAACCCCAAAGCTGCAGCCTCTGCTTCTTTCCCAGCCTGGGCCACTATTGTATTCTTTTAATGTTCTGTGGTGTGTCACTTGCTGGTTACTATGGGGCTCCTTGATCTTTGATCCTTGCCTGGGAATGAAGCCCTGGTTTCAGCCCTCCAGGAGCCATTAAGAAAAAGCAATCAAAGGAGCTCGTGCTGAGCCTCAGAAAATGAGAAGCAGCTTCTGGAGGGGAGCTACTGAGCACTAGCTGAAGAATGAGCATTTGCTTTGGAGTCTTACTTAGCTCCTTCCCCAGTGGTGGAACCACAGGTTGCTCAGGTGGGACCACTGGACTTCTCAGTCACCTCCGTTTCTTTCCTCTCAGTGTTCAAGGAGAAGCCGAAACACCCGCCCAGCAGGGCGCAGTCCCTCAGCTATGCCTTGGCGTCCTCTGATACTTCCTACTTGGGCTCCATTGTCCGGCTCTTCAAAAACCTCAGCTTTGTGCTACTTGTCATCACCTATGGTAAGGAACAGATGTGGCCCCAGGCTTCCTTGAAACTGGGAACAGGAGGTGAGCAAGCAGCCAGGTGTGTCTCCGCGTCCTCCTCTTTCCAAGTCCCAGGAGTGCACTGGAAGTCGTTCAGGCCTTCAGAGGCCAGCTTTGCCTGAGGGCCTTCTCATGTGCTGAAAAGTCCACCCTGGAAAGTCTTTCCTGCTGTGCCAAGTTATCTGACCAGTGCGTGTCAGTCCTCCACATCCCATCCAGTGTCGCCTCTGTGAAGCAGGGCTAGGTGAACTTTCCTCTCCTACTTACTGTGCCATTACTTGAACCTCTTAATACCATTAAAAAACAAAGCATTTCCAGGTCTCACCCCTGTAGACTGAACTCTGGGAGCGGAGTGTTTGCATGTGAAATTCCTCTGCAGTGGCCATCCTGAGGTAGGTGCTCCAGTAGTGATGAAGGAGGCAGCAAATGGATGCATGCATATGTGAATGTTGCCTCCTCAACCAATTCTCTCTTATCGTGTAATATTGATGCCCCCCCTTGCCTGAATGCAAAATAAATCCCCTTTTATCTCATTTCATTTTCTTGACCTTTGGCAAGAGAAATTTGCATGCTTACACTGGTGTATTAGCTTGCTTTGCTAGATGATGTTTTCTGCATCTTCTTCCCAATTTTTTTTTTCCGATACTGGAGATTGAACCCTGGGCCCTTGCACTGAGATACATCCCCAGCCCATTTTTGTATTTTTTAAATTTTGAGACAGGGTCTTGCTAAGTTGCCTGGTTGAATTTGCAATCCTCCTACCTCAGCCTCTGGAGTGCTAGTATTACAGATATTGCCAAGTGTGGTGGTGGTGCACGCCTGTAATCCTAGCACTGGAAAGGCTGCGACAGGAGGATCACTTTGATTTTGAGGCCAGCCTGGGCTACAAAGTGAGTTCAAACCCAGCTTTAACTGCATAGTGAGACCCTGTCTCAAAAAAGACAAAAAAAAAATTCATATATGCACCACCACACTGAGCTTCCAACCTTTAGTAAGACAGCGGCATCAGAGAGTGGCAAGATCAGAGTACCATGCATTCCATTAAAGCACATCTGTCCAGTAGGTAAACATTTGTCTGTTAACTGGTGCTCTTCATTCAGAAAGTTACAGATCCACCCAGTTGTGCTGACCATTTAATCCACTGGTTAAAGTTAAAATTTAGAGTCAATTAAGTGTGACATACTTAGTAACCTATGAAACAAAGGAATGAGACTGCCTTGGAAAGACTTGCTTTTGTGAAACCCCATTTGACTATAATTTCATGCTATCTATAGGCCCACGAACCACTGTTTTATAGCAATAGTATTTTATTTTAATTCCCACCACAGCCAAGTGGGGTAGACTGAAACTCATCGCTACTAGGTAACTAGACCTTGCTCGTCCAGCTTCTAAGTGGCAGAGCTGAAACTTGAATTTGTGTGACTCCAAAGCCTGCGTTCTTAAATGGCTGTTCCATAATTAACTGGGTATGCACTCCTAGAACTGTGCCCGTGGTTTCACTCTAGACACTGATCAGTGCCCTTTATCTTAAAGTGTTTATCTGCTGAGGCACTAGGTAAGAGATATTGGCCATCCCACTAGAAAAGCAGTTCTTTTTTTTTTTTTTTGAGACAAGTTCTTACTATATAGTTGAGGCTGCCCATGAACTCACTATGTCACTCAGGCCAGCTTCAAACTCACAGCAGTCTTCTTGCCTCAGCCTCCCAAGTGCTGGAACTATAGGTATGTGCCGCCATGCTTGGCCATAAGCAGTCCTAACTTTTCCAGGTATACACAGAAGCCAGTGACTTCTCATCTGGAATAGCTCCAGATTACCCGATTAGTTTTAAAAGTTTCAGTTCTCCATTGCTTGTTCCCTGCAATTTCTCTAAGTATGTCTCTGCATTCACTGATAAAGTTGCTAGCATTTAGAGACATCCGACTGAGGAAGTTATGGCCCATCACAGCAATATATTCAAGCATTTACAGGGCCAACTCTTAGTGTGGAGGTGTGGGGGAAATCACAGGCTATATAGATGGAGGTGAAGCCAGATAGACTTTGGGGTCCCTTCCAGTTTAAGGAGTCAGTGATTTCAAGAACTTCCACATTTCCCTTAAGTGAAATTTTCAGGTGCATTGAACTTTGACCACTGCAGGCCTTATTGCGCCAGACAGCAGGGCATGTGAGGCCTAAGGATTCCGGGGTGATAAGGGCTTAGTAAATGCTTCCTTTAGCTGAAGATGACGGTCATAGTGCCAAGGGGCAGAGAGGCCGTTCCAGAGGCTGAGATCTTCCGTACTGGAGGCTGTTGATGGCAGGGCCAGGCCCTTGATCATGGAAGCCAGACAGCAGGACAAAATGCTCTGGGAGTTGGGTTGCTTCTGGTCACTGCGGATCTCAGCACTAGGTCATACTGTAGTGAGCAAAGCAGTTCCTTCTCCTTCTCTCTTGTGTGGCCGGTTGCCTATATGATTTTCTTTCCACCCAGTACTAGGGGTGGAACCCAGGAGCACTCTACTGAGCTATACCTCCAGGCCTTTTTATTTTTTATTTTGAGACAGGGTCTCACTAAGTTGCCCAGGTTGGCCTCAAACTTATGATCCTCCTGCCTCTCAGTGTCTTGAGGAGCTGAAAGTACAGGGATGTACCACTGTGCCTGGTGCTTGTATGACCTTTAATCTGGCAGAGCAGTTTTTATTTTTGCTTTTGTCTTTTTGACACAGGGTTTCACTATACAGTTCGGGATGGCTTTGAACTTATTTTGCAGCTCAAGCTGGCCTCAGACTCACATCGATTCTCCTGAGTGCTGGGATTACAGGCATATGCCTCCTTGCCTGGAGGGTAGAGCAGTTTTAATCTTGTACTTCTGGACATTCATCCTTATCTATTTGTTAAATTATAATACAAGAAATAAACAAAAGAACACTTCTTGAATGATGGAGGAAGGATTTTGGAAAACATGCTCCTCCAAGAACAATGGCAAAAATAATTGTCAAAATCAATTTTTTTTTCTTTTTTGATTTTTTGAGACAGGGCCTTGCTATGTAGTTCAGACTGGCTTTGAACTCACTATAGTTCAACTCACTGCAATCCTCCTGCTGCCTCAGCTTTCTGAGTGATGGGATTATAGGTGTGCACCACTATGCCAGCTTTAAAATCAATATTATCAAAAAGCTTGCAACAATGCAAGTATGTTTATTCAAGAAAATTGGCTGAGTGTCCTCAGGTCTGGGGGCACATGCCTGTAATCCCAAAACTCAGGAGGATTGCCATGAATTCAAGGCCAGCCTGAACTACATAGTGATACGGTTTCAAAACAAAATGAAACAGTACTTTAAAAATTTTTTTTTAAAATTAGGATGCTTTAAACTAGAACTACATTCCACTTTTGGGCCTCTGGAAGCATGTGACTGTTTTACATAGACAGAATATATTAGCATTTATCTCAAAAGCTTAGGAATATTCCAGTAAGAGCAAGCTAGACTGATTTGGATATTTACGCGTGCCTCATTATAGTCAGAGAACCATAACCCTTATTGCTATGGCAGAGAATTGGGCTAAGGTGACAGAGCCCTTTGCCAACAAGGAAATGATTCTTAGGCTTCATCACAGATGTGAAAATGTTTTTCATTGAACCATTATTGTGTGCTGGGCACCATGCTAAGTGCTTTACATGCATTTGCTCATTTAATATTTCTCATTTATTCATGAGAAATCAAGACAGCAAGATTGAGGCCCTCACTGGAAACCAGACAGCTAGAGAGCTCAGAGCACAGGTGCCATTTCTCTGATGCAAAGCCCAGCTCCTGACCACTGCACTACTTTGCCTCCCAGTGGAGAGAGGACCCTCCTGACCATAGCACTTGGACTCTGAGCCCCACTCACATGAGGCCTGCACCCCGGGAGTGTGTCATTTTCTCGGATTCAGTCTTTCTGACCAGTTGCCTAGAGGCTGAGTCCTTTTGAAGACCCAGAGTGCCAGGGGATCAGAAGCCGAGCCACTACCCATCTTCGGGACTTGGGGGTGACGGGGTCTCCTGTGCCAAAGGTTTGTAATCTCAGAAGGATGGCAGCAGGCACTTCATCCAGACAAGACTCTTGGCTTGCCTCTCCCATTGTTTTAGCTCTAAATGAAAACAAAAGGAACCAAAAAAGCCCTATGTAAATTCAAAGACATGCTTTGTAATCCCAATTGCCTCCCCCACCCGGCTTTGCTTTCCACTGCTGTGAGCGAAAATCTTTGAACATCTATTTAAAAGAAGGAAATAGCTGGGGGAGCTCGGTGGCAGAGTGCCTGCCGCTGCAGCACATGTGAGGCCCTGGCTGCCGTGCCTAAGACTACAAAAAAAAAAAAAAAATCAAAAAGAGGAAAGATTTATTTTTGTCACGCTTTCAGTCCCATGGCTGCTGGCTCTTGGAAGGGCATGTGACAAAGGCATCATCATCTGCGTGGTCGAGCAGAGCCGGTTGAGCAGAGTTGCTCACCTTGTGGCAGCTAGGGAACAGAGACAGAAAGGGAATGGTTGGTGGTGGACACCCTCTGTAAGGTGCACCCCAATGGCCCAACTTCCTCCCATAATGTCCCACCTCCTGAAGTTTCCACCCTTCTCAGTTGACTACAGGCTGGCAGCTAAACCTTCAACACACAGCCATTGGGGGTTATTAAAGATTTAAATTTCCAGACATGGTGGTATATGTCTGTAATCCCACTCAGGAGGCTGAAGCAGGAAGATCACTGAGTTCAAGGTCAGCTGGGAGTACTTAGGGAGCTCAAGACCAGCCTGAACTACATAGAGAGACCCTGTCTCAAAAAGAGTAAATAATGTAAATAAAATAAAAATAAAGACATGCACAGCATGCATCCAAATTGCTGTTGCGCTGGTGAACTTGCTGACTCCCAGCACCCTTTGGCCTGCGCTGTATTTGACTGAGTAAGGAGTGTCTGGTAAGAGTGGCATCTCCAGTGGCTTCCCAAGGGCTTCCCAGCTTGCTGAGGCAGCTGCGCCCGTGCAGCAATAACAATGGAAGCCCAGGGAGGAAATGCAGAGTCTCAAAGCTGGGCTTTCCCCTACACTTTTGGCCACAACTTTAGAGTTACCACAGAGAGATAAAGTTTATCTAACATAATGAATACTTTCCTGTGTAAACACTTGCCTTGAAATATTGGGACTTCCTTATACTGAACTATCGATTGATTTATTTGAAGTTCAAATTCAGCGGAGGCAGAGATGCCAGTTTGGTCTTTTGTTTTCTCCTAGGTCTGGCAATGCAACATAGAGGGGAGGAGATGCAGGGACTGGGTTCAGGCTCCGTGTCGCCCAAACACTGAGGCCACAGTCCCTCGCTCCCTCTCTCCCTCCCTCCCTTCCTCGCTCCCCCACGGTTGGCCAAGCGGGAAGACTCAGGGCTGGCAGCAGCAGTTTCCCAAGTTTCCGGGTGTCTGGGCACAGGGTAGGGCTGCTGTGTGTCAGGAGTGAAGTAGGGAGGGGTGCAGCAAAGAACCCCGGCAAAGAAGGCTCTTCTCAGAGCTACCTTCTCTCTGCACACTGGGTCTCACTTTCGTGTGGCCTCCTCCGGTGTCTTACAGCCTGGCAGAGCCTTGTTGAGAAGGCTTTTGGTCTGTTGACCCTCTGAGGGTGCTTCCCATATTGTGCCCAAACTGTGCTCTGATGTCTTTAGTGTATCTGGTCTGGCCTCCAGGTTTGCTTTTCAGGGTTCTCAAGTGCTTTGTCATTATCCTACACACATCAGCCTAGGGAGGGGCCTCTGTGTTCTTCCAAGATCGTGGTTTAAGTTTGGGCATATAACTTGGGAGGCTGAGGCAGGAGGATCGTTGTGAGTTCAAGACCAGCCTGGGCTACAAAGTGAGCTCAAGGCCAGCCTCAACTGCATAGTGAGACCCCGTCTCAAAAAAAAAAGAATGGGAATATAGCTGGCCATGATGGCACATGCATGTGACCTCAGGACTGGGGAGGCTGAGGCAGGAGGATCACTTGGAGTTCAAGACCAGCCTAGGCTGCATAATGAGTTCAAGTCAGCCTGAACTGTATAGCAAAACAATAACAACAATCCCCCAAATTAAAAAAAAAAAAAAAATCAAAAGACCAAAAGTCCTCCTGGAGTTTCCTGGAAGCTTGGCAGGCTGGCCTTTTAAAACAATTATTTATGTGCTGGGGGTAGTGACCTACACCTATATTCCCAGCACTTTGGAGAGCTGAGGAAGAGATGCCAAGTTCAGGCCCAGCCTGAGCAATTCAGTGACTCAGCAAGACCCTGTCTCAAAATAAAACATAAAATGGGCTGGAAATGTAGCTCAATGTGAAAGCCCTGGGTTTAATCCTCAGTACCACAACAAACATAAATTTTTCCTTGTATCTGGGCCAGGGATAGAGCTCAGCAGCACAGTGCCTGCCTGGCAAGTGCAAGGTCATGAGTTCCATTCCTAGTATCAAAAAAAAAAAAGAAAAGAAAAGAAAAGAAAAGAAAAGAAAAGAAAAGAAAAGAAAAGAAAAGAAAAGAAAAGGAAAGGAAAGACAGAAGGGAAACTGAGTAAACAGAACCCAGAGATGCAATCTGGGATTGATGTTTTCCAAGTGCTACTGTTTGGATCTTGAGTGGCTGCCAAAGGTCCACTATATGTTTAAGGCTTGGTGGGTGCCAGTGACATTATTGGGAGGTGACATGACCAGTATTAGGTGTGTCTTCATAGAAACGAGTGAGACCACAGGGGGACCCTTGACCCTGGGGCTGCCCCTCCTGTCCTTCCCTTCCTGCCCACACTGCCTGCCATGATGGTGGCCTTGCCACGGCCCTAAAGCCAACAGGCCTGCCACCCTTTGGCTAAAACCTCCAGCTAACACCAACCAGCTAAAGCCAACCTTTCATCTTCAACAACTGATTAGCTCAAGTATTTTATCACAGCTGCCCAAGCTAAGTAATGCACTAAGCTTCCCTAGGGGAGACATTTCTGGGGTGCTGGAGTAAATGATTATGTGGTTTTCCACACTTCTGGAAATTCTGATTTGCGGTCTGGCAGGTTAGTGATGAGGACTGCTTTTGCTATGCATCCTGGGAGATTTTGCTTTGTGGTAGAGTTGAGAACCTCTGACAACCACACTACCAGGAATTCTGGGTCTGCCCCCTGATCTGCATCCCTAAGGTCACTCACTCCCAAATACCAATGATTTTAAGAAAGACCTTTTTTAGCCAGGTATGATGGCTCACCCCTGTGATTACAGCACTTGGTCAGCTGAGGCAGAGGATTGCTGCAAGTTTAAGGCCAGCTTGGGCTACATACCGAGACAAAGTCTCACCATATAGGGCAGGCTGACTTCGAACTTACTGTATAACCCAGGCTGGCCTCAAAATCAGAGCAGTCTTCCTGCCTCAGCTTCCCAGGTGCTGGGATTACAGGTGTGCACCACCATGCCTGGCATGGTATATTTTTTTGCTCCAGTCCTTGTGTGTATTGATGCTCTGTCCCTGTGGATTATGCCTCCTTCTTCATCACCCCCTGGGGATCCAGGATGAGAACACCAGTTGTACCTCAAGCTGAGCTGCTGGGAACATCCCTGTGGCAGGGTCAGACCAGGCCCAGAGGCTGAAGGAGGGGCGGAGGGGCAGGAAGGGTTCAGGAAGTTGTTTTCCCCCTTCCTCCAGCATTTCAGCCCAGCCCTTTTCTGGGAGTGGCTGCTGATGGCCCTCTGGGCTCCGGAATGGAATTCTGAGTGGCTGGGTGTGTGGGGTGAAGGGTACTCGGGTCTGTTTGTAAGATGTTGCCAGGACCCTTGGAGTTACAGTGACCACCAGCTTGGCAGTTGTGACAGTGACTTGTCTGGATTTGTTGGCCTTGTGCTGAAGGAAGCCAAATGGATCCCAACCTCGTTGGTGTGATCTGCTGGGAGAGGGTGGGACAACAGCAAACCTCAGTGACCTGGTTCAGGTAATCTTGGTCCTGAGAATCAGCTCTGTGAGGATGTAAAGTGATTAAAAATCAAGGACTCTGGAGCCTCTGGCTCTGGGTTCAAATCCAGCTGTACCACTTAATCTCTGTGTGACTTGGGGGTTGGAAAAGCAGATCTTACCGATTTTGTATGAGAATTGGACCTTCACCTCACTCAGTAGCTGGTTCCCTAAGGTTGGGAGTATGTCAGCTACATTTAGGCAAATTGTGATAAAAATGACCTTTTGTAGGCTGGGCATGATGGCACACACCTGTAATCCCAGCACTCAGAAGGCTGAGGAAGGAGGATCACCTTGAGTTCAAGGCCAGCCTAAACCTCATAATGAGATCCTATCTCAAAAAAAAAAAAAAAAAAGCTAAAAAGATCCATGATGGCATTATGGAATGATGGGGTTTGTTTTTTTAATTCTATGCGCATTTTTCTCATCTATAGAGTAGGTATGCTAATACTACCAAACTTCCAGGATGGTTAAAAAGATTGTAATGTGCTCAGCACAGTGTCTGGTACAAAAGAAAAAAAGTATATGTACTTTTATAAAGTATATGTACTTTTTTAAAAAGTATACGCTGCTACCATCATAACCACTGTCATTGTCATCATCATCATCAGAAGGCAACTGACTCTTCCTCCTTTGGGTTAGTTCTAGTCTTATGGTCACTGCCAGCTCGCTGTGTAGCTTTGTACAGATGGCCTTGTTCTCAAAGGATGAAGGTCTTACTGTCTATTTTAGGTGCTCCATTTGTTTGCTGAATGAACTGATGAGGCAGGACACCAACTAAATGCTCTTTAAGGTGTTTTATAGTTTTCCATAACAGATCTTGGAAAATCTGGAATCAGAGATGTAGAAATTAGTTCAGAGAAGCATTTGGAGGAGTGTGGAAGAATGAGAGAAATGACCTGCAGAAGTAGTGGCATCAAGGTCTTGGATGTAGAGCAGTACAGAGAGGGGACGGGGTCATCAGGAAGAGATGGGAGATGTCCACTGGTCCAGCTGACCCCACAGATTTGACCTAAGCTTCAGAAAGGAATGTGGGCAACTCCGAGTGGAGAGTGGTGCTGCGCAGAGCCTGAGTCTCCAGCATGGGCTGAAGGGATTGGAAGGCAGTGGTGTGGGGCTCAGAAAAGGTCCCATGCCACTTTGGGTTGCATAAAGTACTTCTTTGAGAAGAACTGCAGTATGTCCTCACAGCTCCCTGAGCTTTTCTTCTCTGAGGACACCGCCTGGGGGACATGGGGCTGGGGGTTCTTATCTCCTTGACAGCTGGAGGGGCGGTGGCCTCTGCCACAGGAGAAGGCGGACTCTAATGCAGTGTTTTTCCTCCCTCATTCAGGTCTGAATGCCGGCGCTTTTTATGCCCTGTCCACTCTGCTGAATCGCATGGTGATCTTCCACTACCCGGTAGGGGAGTCCCCTCTGCAGGCCGAGCCTGGAAACAGGGTTTCCAAGTCTGTCTCTGCCAAGGCTGGGCCGGGATAGTGCTCCATTCCCATGTGCATGGCGTGCTTCCAGGGTTGGGAGGGGAGTGCTCTGGTTTTCACCCTGCCTCTGGAGGACCCAAAGGTGGCGGTGTGTGACTCGGTGACAAGCAGTTGGCATCGCGGAGCTCTCCCTTTTCTGCAGAAGAAGCACAGTTACCTCTCATAAATAATATCATTTGTGGATATGTACACATATTTACAATCATATTTACTATATATGATATGTAAAGTATGATGCATGGTAACACAATTGGTAAAAATACACACACAATATTTAGTTTGTAAAATGTGGCAAGATTTAATTTTGAACTCCTAGTTGCTCAACTGAAAGCAATTTTTTTTTGTTTTTGAGACATGGTTTCACTATGTAGTCCAGACTGGCTCCATCCTCCTGCCTCAGCCGCCCTAGTGCTGGGATTACAGGCATGTATCACCACGCCCAGTTCAACTGAAAGTATTTTTAAAATGTCTGCAGAACCAGTGAGGGCTGGAGGTTGGGAAAGGGACGCTGAGTGTCCTGGAGTCTTTTGAAAGAGCTAGAATCATATACTCACAGAGCAGGAGGCCACTGTGGCTAAGGGCTCTATCTTTGGAATTGGCCTGAGTTCACATCCCAGCTCCGTCCTTAATGTGTACTTTGTGACCTTGGACTCCTAGGTAAATCTCACCGTGCCTCAGTTTCTTCACTGTACAACAGGGCCCACTGACTCCTAACCTTACGTGGATAATTATGAAACTCAGAAGGTAGGAAAAATCTCAGGCATGGTGGACAGCTCATAGTAAGCATTCAAAAGTATATGGCTTTATTTTCCTTTTTCCTTTGGCATTGCTAGCTAAAATAAATATATAAAAATGAGCTGGGTGTGGTGTCTATAATCCTAGCACTCTGGGTGGCTGAGGAAGGAGGATCACAAGTGTGAGTCTTGTCTGAGTAATTTAGCAACTTAGTGAGAACATCTTAAAAAAAAAAAAAGAAAAGAAAAAGTTTGAAATCTAGTACTGAAGGAAAATAAAAATCTAAGAATGGAGTATTTTGATTCTGATTCCCCAGTCTGTGAATGGAAATGATGATAAATTCCATTCAAAGGGTTGCTATAAGGATTCAATTATTTTTTTAAAAAAATCTGCTGAAAATTGGTTCTAAGAACAGAACTTGGTTTATCATGTCACCCATCGCTGAGTCACACACACACACACACACACACAGACACACACACACACACACACACACACACACACACACACAGGAGTTATGCTTGGGGAAGAGCAGCTGTCCTTGGGTCTTCTCCAAGGCCGTCTGCTTCTGGCCATCTTCCCAGGCTGGGCTCCGGGTTACTCCCCTTTGCCCTTTCATCCCATAGTTACTTTGTATTGTCTCCTGCCATGTACTGACACCTGGTGATTTGGGGATTTCCCCAGGGGGAAGAAGTGAATGCTGGACGAATTGGCCTGACTATCATCATTGCAGGAATGTTTGGAGCCATGATCTCAGGCATCTGGCTGGATAAGTCCAAAACCTACAAGTAAGTCACCATTCCTCTCTGACAGAACTGGGGACCCATCTTTTGAAATGACTCATTTGATAGCAATGCAGCTCAGGCTGGGCTGTGACAGCAAGGGGTCTGAGGAGCCAAGCAGGCAGCTCAACTTACCTTCTGCAAGCCGCAATTTCCGCAGTTACGAAGTGAGGGACACTACACTTAGGAAGATCTTCGGAAGATTAGAGATGGGAGGAGAGGCCAGCGCAGTGCTCTTCTCCATCCCTGCCCACCAAGTAGCCTTGTGGAAGAGGCAGGCAAAAGAGAAAAGGAAATTGTGGGAAAAAAAAAAAAAGCCAAAAACTCCCAGTGGGTGTGATGACACATGCCTGCAACTCCAGCACTCAGGAGGCTGAGGCGAGTTCGAGGCCAGCCTGGGCTACATAGTTCAAGGCCAACCTGAAGCCCATAAGGAGGCCCTGTCTCAAAAAACAAAACAAAACCAAACAGAAAAAGAGCATAAAACCTCAGCAGTTGGAAAGTTTGTGGAACTCATGAAGAATGGTGATGAGGAGGGGATTCCACTGCCCTGTTCCTGGGGCTTCTGACCCTGAGAGGTTAACTGAGTGCACAGTTCACAGTGTTATCCTGCAGTTGTTTATACCTTGTGGGTTAAATATTGTGACATGCCTTGGACACAAATGCCCAGTGTATTAAGATCCCAGACCTGTCCTTCCTGTTTTTGATGTTTTCTGGTGTGGGGATCAAACCTAGGGCCTCACACATGCTAGGCAAGCAGTCTACCACTGAGCTCACCCCCAGCCCTTTCTGCCGTTCCTGCTGTGACTTTCCCATACGCTCCATGCACTGGACACTCGGTGAGTGGTGGCTGGGGGAGCAGCGGCACCAGTTTGTCCCACTTTGGGCTGGGGCAGCATTCCCTGCTGCCTTAAGGCATCCAGTGTTCCCAGTGTCTGGAGGTGACAGACAGTGGCAGACCTGTTCTCTGCCATACAGACCCAATTCTGCCTGCTATAGTCAAAGGCCAATTGAGGCCACCCTTAGAACATGTGGCTGCCTGGCTTACCACGGGCTCTTAGTTACCACTAGTGGAGCTTGGCCACTGTCGTGTCTCTGCCAACCATTAGTTGCTTGCTTCAGCCAGACCAAGAGCAGAGAGGACTGGCCGCCCCCACAGCAGGGAACAGCAGTGTCTTTCTTCCAGGGCTTGCTCTGCAAAGAAGGGAGGGGTTGGAATGTCACTGGGCTGGGGTGTGGACAGCCAGATGAATCAGACAAATCAGGAAATGTAGCAAGAGGACTGGGGAGGACACCTCCTCAGCACTTTAGGACCAGGCATCCCCGGCTCCCAGTGTCACTTGATATCTAAACCCAATGGCCTCGTGAGACCTTTCCCCATTAACTGTTCAGGCAGAGAGGACAGTTCTCAGTGGGCTGTGACAGTCTGTGATCTTGCCATCTATCTCTATGCCAGTCTCTTCTTGCAAGGGCTCCCAGATTCATCTTCTTTGCTGTGAAGGCTGGAAATTGGGTGCTGTGGTTTGATGATCTCAGGATAGAATTAGAAATAGTCTTTTTGAGCCAGATGTGGTGGCGCACACCTGTAATTACAGGAATCAGGAGGCTGAGGTAGTGGGATCCTCATGAGTTCAATGCCAGGCTGGGCTACATAGTGAGCTGAAGGACAGCCCAAACTACACAGCAAGACCCTGTCTTCAAACTCCCCACCAAAAAATGAAGCTATGATTAAACAAACATGACCCAAAAGTGTTAGTATCTGGTGAGCTGGTGGAATCACTGAAGAAGGCTGCTGTCCTTGAAGCTCCTTCTTTTGGGATGTGTAGGAATAGAGGGAAGGGCCATGGTAAGGAAGGAGAAGGCTCTTCTACTCCAGCAGCTGCTCTGAAGCACTAGGGGGAAGTGGCACCCTCTAGAGACTTTGGCCTTGATCTTTTCCAGACATGCAACCACATAGTAGAGCATTATTCCCACATGTAGTAATAGAAAGTATGGAAGTTTCAAGCCCAGATCTGGGTTCAAATCCCACCTGTGAATTTATTAAGCCAGGGACTTTGGACAAGTAGCTTAGTTGGCTTCAGTTTTCTCATTGGGAAACTTAGGAATGGTCCCATATTTCTTGCAGGAGTTTTGGTAAGGTTGAGTTGAAATCAGAAATGTGTGTAAAGTGTCTAAGAGAATTTGATACCCCATAAATATATCAGACGTTAGCTGGACACATACTGTGGTGTGCTCCTGGTCCCCCACCTTTTCTGGCCTCGGGAGACATGTGTAGGCTTTCAGCTTTCACATCTGCTTCCTTATGTTCAAGGCAGGAGGGCAGGAGGATATGCTCTGCAGTGAGGCAGCCAGAGGGGCGAGTGCAGTTCTGCCTGCAGGGGTCAGGGCTGCAGCAGCATCCTTCCTCGGCTCCATGGGGAGAGAAGTGTGTGGAGGGGCACAGTAGAGCTGAGCCTGACAGAACTCAGGACTTGCTGACTGTACTTCTGGGGGAACTGAAAAAGGGGAAGGTAACAGAGAGTGGGCGGAGATGTCTCTCTCTGGCTTTGGAGTCTGGCACTTGGGAGTTTAAGGCCAGAGAATGTCCTCTCTTAGTTCTGCTGTCTGCAGCACAATAGTTCTGATTCAACAGGCAAAGCTGTGCTGGGGAGGCAGTGCACCTGGAAGAACTACTGGTGACGGAGAGCGTCTGACAGTCAGATCATCGCCCAGCATTACCCAACGTGAGGTCCCGGGTCAAAGCTAACAAGCAGGAATCAGTGACATCTGGGGTGGTGCTGAACATTACTGTCATCTCACCGTGGCTGATGTTTGCCTTGCTTTTTTTTCCTGGTGGAAGACAGGGGAAGGAAAGGTTGTGTGCGTGCTCCCCACGAATAGGATGTGCCAAGCTAAGGGGCAGCTTGTGGAGAAGGTTCTAGAGGAAGAGCACTTCCTCTGAAAAGGAAGGAACCATTTGTGTGATCATTGGTTCAGTGTTTGTCACCCTCATAGACAGACAACTCTATGAAAGCGATATCCTAGCACATCACAGGGAGCTTGCCAGACAATAGGGCTCACCAGATACTTGGGAACTGAATAAAGGATCAGTCTTGTTAAAGTCAGAAGGATATGACTCAACTTTTGTACCTCTGCTTACAGAGAGACAACCCTGGTGGTGTACGTCATGACTGTGGTGGGCATGGTGATCTACACGTTGACTTTGAACCTGGGACATCTGTGGGTAGTGTTCGTCACCGCTGGCACATTGGGGTAAGTGTCACCTCCAACCTGTTAAATTGGAAAACACTGTCAGAACTGCCAGTATCCCAGGATACAACACTGAACCCCCTTTTCTGCCTTCTCACTGACTTCAGAAGATGTGGAAAGGGTCTCTGGGGGTCTTGGTAACACTTGTAGACTTCAGGCAGCCTGCTGTGCCCTGTTGGGATGGAGTGAAGCATGAATTGCCCTTCAGGATCTCTGGGATGCTAGGAAATGCTTGGAGTCCATTTTAGCTTTGTCTGGAACAAAATGGGGCCATAGAAATACACAGGGCTTGGAATAAAAATTGCTCAGGTCTTAGCTAGACCACAGACATGTCACTCAACTGCCCCAGTCCTCTGTTTCTTCATCCGTGAATGAAGATGAGTAACCTCCATCCTGGAAGGATTGAGCAAGACAGCAGATATGAGAACAATAAGAAGTGTGGAGCAAATGAAAGGAATCAGGACAGGAATTTTCTAGGCCTGATGTGTGAGAAAATGTAGGAAATAGCTCGCCTGTCATCAAGGCCTTTGCTCCCCTCCCCCTGCTATTTTCCTTTGGTGTGAGTGTGTCTGTGTGCATGTCTGTGAGTGTGAATGTGAGAGGGCAACGAAGCAAGGCCTTTGGTGCTCAACCTCAGTGGGCTGCTCTGTAGAGGAAAATAGGAGGACTGTGAGCTCCTCCTTTCAGGTCCCAGAGAGTCCTGCGGATGCTGCCTCAGCTCTGGGGACTTCTCTCAACCCAGGGCCATGTTCCCAGGCCACAGTCTCTCAGCTGAATGTGGAGCACACCAGGCTTCCTTGCCTCTCTGTAAATGCTGCTCTGCCATTGAGGCTGGAGAGAGAAGCACTGGGACCCGCTGAGCACAAGGCCTGCACATGAGCTTCGTCCTGGTCTGCAGGGATATCCCTTTCCTTGAAATGGCCACTGGGAGGATGGGCAGATTGTTCAAGGCCTAGGGGAATGGACAGATTGTCCAAGATGTCTTGATGGGAAAGGAAACACAGGAGAGGGAATCTTAAGGGAGGTGGGTTCCCCATCCCTGCCCTGGAAGTTCAACATCACATTGTTTCTCTGATCTGGACTTCAGTTTCTTTATGACTGGCTATCTCCCACTGGGGTTTGAGTTCGCCGTGGAGCTCACATACCCAGAATCAGAGGGCATGTCGTCTGGCCTCCTCAACGTGTCTGCACAGGTAGAGCTTCTGTTATCTCTTTGTTCCCTGCCTCGCTTGGGACAGCAGTGGAGGCTGGTATTGCATTGTTGCTGCATGGTTGTACCTGGGGTCCAGCTGGCTGGGCCCTTCTTTCCAATCTTCCCTATGCTTTTCCAGGTGTTTGGAATCATCTTCACCATCTCCCAGGGACAGATTATTGACAACTACGGAACTAGGCCCGGGAACATCTTCCTGTGTGTGTTCCTCACCCTTGGGCTGGCCCTCACTGGTGAGTTGGGGCCTGAGGGCCAGATGAGGCTGAGGCTGCTCATGGGCAAGGCGGTTGGCAAGGTGGACCCCAGTGTCTTGGGGGAGCACACATGCAAGGGGACTTGCTAGGAAATATGTTTGGGGGGCAGTAACATGTTTTAGTTGAATGAAGCTGGGCTTTGGAGTCAGAAGACCCACATTTGGATCCATTCTGACACTGGCTTCCCTGGCTCTTCACTTTGGGCAAGTGGGCCAACCTGTGGGGGCCTTAGTTTCCTACCCTGTAAAATAAGGATTGCTCCTGAGGCTTAGACCAATGTACATAAAAAATCTGGCAAATGTAAGTGACCTCAGAGTGTCATTATTGGATTGTGCCTTGCAGGGACAGCAGTGATCCCTGGGCTTTTACCAAGTTGCATGGCACCAACTTCCTGGAATACCTGCAGTAGGTTTGGGATGTCTGTGACCTTTAGGAAAACAAGGATTCCCTCTAAAGAGTAAACTTAACTATTGGATCTCCTTGATGACTGTCTTTGTCACTCTTCTTTTTCAATTTCAGCTTTCATTAAGGCAGATCTCCGGAGGCAAAAGGCGAACAAAGAAATCCCCGAGATAGTGAGTATACAGAGCTTGGTGGGAACAGGATCTAGGCCCTGGGCTTGTAATGAGCAGGTGACAACATAGGCACAGCCAAGGGGCGTCCACACAGGGACTAGTTTTGTGGTGGCCGTGAGTCCAGCTCTCCTCTCATAATCATGGCAGCCTCAAGATTTCCTCGATGGATGTTCAGCACTGATTTTCTGTTACTCTTTTCTGGGCTTTTCTCCACTTCCTTCCCTCCTCCTGGCTTCCCTGCCCCTGGAGCACATCCTGTTGTCTCAGTCTGCTGAATGGCACCCTTGGATGCTGAGCCAAGTCCTGAGTGCCTGGCTGCACTGTTGGTCCACCTGGGGTTAGTGACTAGAGAGGAAAGGAAAGGTGGGAGTCTAGCTTGACCACACTGTCATGGCGATGGTGGCCCTGAGGCTGTGGGTCTCTTGGCATGTGACAGCCCTTACATAGGGTCATGGGGATGGAGCCAACATGTTGCCAGTAGGACTCTAAAAGGACAAGTCAGGAAGTAGACAGTGATGCCAAATGGAGAGGAGAGTATCAGGAATATGATCTCAAACTGAAAAATGTTTCCCATCTGCTCTAATCAGCTGGGAACTACTTAAACCAAAATGTTAAGGCTCAGTTCTGAGCAAGAGCTAGGGTGTAGTTCAGTGGTAGAGCCCTTGCCTAGTTTGTGTGAGGCCTTAGGTTTGATCTCCAGCAGAAGAGTGGGGGAGGGCGTAGGGAGAGGGAGAGGGAGAGGGGTAAGGGGGAGGGGAGGGGAGTCATAGCTGAGCAAGGGTAAAAAGAATTGCAGCTCTGAGGAGGAGTAAAAGTAGGATATTTTACTAAAACATAAAACTAACAAACTTATTATAAAACAGTATATATTCTTTGTAGGAAAATTTAAAAAAAAAAAAAACACAGTAAACACAAAATTTAAAAAATCACCTTACAAGGGCCAGGCATGGTGGCACATACCTGTAATCTCAGCACTCAGGAGGCTGAAGCAGGAGGATTGTTGTGAGTTTGAGACCAGTCTGGGCTACAAAGTGAGCTCCAGGCCAGCCTGAATTGTATAGCGAGAACTTGTCTCAAAAAGACAAAAAAATAAATAAATCACCCTACAATTTCCATCATCTAGAGATGTTATTTTTATATTAATTTATGCATATCTGTATCCACATATTCATATATATTTTTTAAAGCAAAAATATAATCTATTTACCTTTTTAAACTCACTACAAGCATTATCAGGCTATTAAACTTCTGCAATATAATTTTAATGACTGTATAGTATTCCATTATGTGGATAAGCCATGGTTTATTTAACAGTTTTCTTGTCTGAACATTAAAATTTTTTGCCAGTTGTTGTTACTGACACATTGGAAGATGAGAAGTTTCCAATTTAGCTTGTGATGTACCATGCCAAGTGACATGAGATTTTGCCAAGTTTTCTTTATAATCTGTGTTTACAATGGTAGATATAGGCAAACAAGAAAAAATAGAAGTCACCTATAATTCTGCCTCCCAGAGATACCATAGGAGCATCTTAGTCTATTTTCCCATGCTGTAATCTATGGGTATGCTTATGTATGTTTTGTTTTCTACTCTGTATATTTGCTTAATGTAGCTTGATGAACTTTCCACACAATCACACTCTCAACCTCATCTCTTTCCCTCTCTCTCATTTTCCACAGATATCTATATCTATATCTCTCTTCATCTGTATAGCATTTCAGTTCCAGTATTTCACTATTGTTGCAGCCAGATCCTCGTGCACGTGATCCAGGTTTGCTAATCAAAATTGGTTGGAGTTGCTGGCTCAGTCTCCTTGACTACGGGATATTAGAAGTAGCACTAAAGTTGTAGTAGTAGAGCTCCCTTACCTGTGTTGTGTCCCTGGCTAATCCACTGTGCATGTCCGGACCTCACAGCATCTGACGCTACTTAGTATTATTAGAAAAGCAGAGTTGCACTGGGGCTGCCACCAGGGAAGCCACAGCTGTCACAGAGCATCCTTCTTCTGGAGCCCTGTCATTCTACACCCATGGTGGTCAGTGTAACTCGGAGACCTGCAGACAAATGCACTGTCAGAGCCAGGTGAAGTCAGGGCATGCAGCAGATCTAGCCAGACCTGTCTTCCTGCACATCAGGGAGATGTAGTTTGGTTAAAAAGAGACAGAACTGGGGCAGGAGTCACGACTGAACTTGACTATGAAAATCATAGTTTGAATTTTCATTTTTCTTCCAGCATAGAAAGTAGCTGTGCTTTCATCCGACTAACCTATCTCAAGCCAATGGATTTGGGGGGGCATGCACGAGTGTGTGTGCTTGGGGAGAGGCTGAGTCACTTACCTGTCAGTTGCCTGAATGAGGGTTCCTTCTGGCTGAGGCTGACTGTAGTGCAAAGGTTAGCAAGCCTGAAAAGGAGAAGGTTAGATTCCTGCAGCTGTTGCCCTTGCCATAGCCTGGCCATGAGACCTGCCGGGGAATAAAGCATCATTTGTTGGCTGGCCTCTAGCCTGGCCCTGCACATGTTCCTCTGGCCTGAAGTGGTGCTTGGGCAGAGCTGGGGCTATGCCCAAGGCCTCCTTGCTAATTAGAAGACCCTTGCTAAAGAGAAGAAGTAAAATACTTCTTAAAACAGCAGGCAAACACCCAAGTTGGCAGTATGTGCTAAGGACCCCACAGTATAATTTCTAGGCCATGTCTGATTCCAAACACACCTGACAAGTGTGGCCTGGAGGCCTCTTCCTTGTAGAAGAATCCTATGCCGTCCCTCCCTGAGGAAGCCAAGGCCAAACTAAGTGGAAGTCTTTGTTCCTCTGCATAAAGTATGAATATGCAGCATTAAGTTTATATATGCAGTTATGCATGCTGCCTTTAAAAATTCTTTTTGTAGCCAGGCATGGTGGTACAGCCAGGTGTGGTGGCACATGCCTGTAATCCCAGCACTCAGGAGGCTGAGGCAGGAGGATTGCTGCAAGTTTGAGGCAAGCCTGTGCTACATAGTGAGTTCAAGGCCAGTCTAGACTACATAGTGAGACCTTGTCTCAAAAACAAAACAAAACAAAACAAAACAAAACAAAACAAAACAAAATAGCTGGTTGGTCATACATGAAGGTGACTTCTTGGCCCTCAAAATGGGGAGGGAAAGTGGGCTTTTTTTCTGCTTCCAAACAATTGAGCTTGGGATGACATCTTTTGAGGGGCATGTTTTGTAGCTGTTGTGGTGCAATAGGAAACTGGCTTTTTTTCCTTTGAGTGGTGCTGGTGGGGAGCAGTGCTCGGGGAGTGCACTTAGGCAGGGGCTGGGAGCTGCTGTCTGGTTGGCTTTGTTTGCTCTTGTGCATATGGATACAGAATGGCCCATCTCAGGCCTGCTGATTGGAGTCAGGGCCAGGCAGATGGTCCAGCTGGGGCAGAGTCCTGTGCCTTCTAGCCACGGAACTGCCTGCCTGCTTTGCCTTCCAGAAAGTCCAAGAGGAGGAAGACAGCAACACTAGCAAGGCACCCACCGTGATATCGGAGGTTCGTCTCTGACAGAGGGACAGGTGAGAGTGACCCAAGAAACACGAACACCCCACCTCTTCACTCAGCTCAGCTCTCACTGCCAGCGCACAGGTCTTTGTTGGAGCTTTTTGAGGGCATCAGCTGAAATATTTGTGGCTTGCATGTTGGTGCCTATGCCTCTGGGAAACCCTGCAGAGCTTGGTTGGCACTTTTCATCAAACGCAGACTGGATTTCCGTCCCCTCCACCTTTGAGGAGCTCATGGGTGGCGGTGTGGGGAAGGGCTGGTGGATGGTCCTCAAGTCGTCCAGGCTTGGCCCCTTGCCTTCCATTATCTCCTTCACCCTCACAGAGAATGCTTGCAAAATTACCACAGGGAGAAAGTTTATTCAGAATATGAACTTTTTCTAGTGTCTTAAGAGCCTCACCAGAAGCCCAGTTCTTTCTAAGGAGAAGCAAGCTGCTCAGCCTGAGGGTTGTTCCTGAGTCATCAGAGGGACTGTTCAGTAACATCCATCAGAACAGCCTCACAGGGTAACTCCACTAGGACCCTTCGCCCAAGCTGGGATCTGTCTAATGTGATCTTTCTCTAAATTCTCCTGTGAGCTGATCAGACCAAACATTAATAATTTGTTCACACCAATATTTTGTTGTGGCCATGACGAGGGAACTGATTTGGGAAGGTTAACTACCTTGAGCTGGGATGGAAAGGTACTTTTCCTACAAAAGAAGTTCCTGTCCAGGTACTTCAGGGTGTCCTTGGCCACTCCGTATGCCTTCATCTGGACACTGCACTGGGACATTGCCATCACCTAAGTGTGTGTTTTATCCCAACGGAGCAATCACAGCCAACCTCACTGTAAATGTCACTGAAAGTGAAATCTCCATTCTGCTCTGACAAGTCCAAGGCTGCTTCTGACAGATGAGAGGACACGGGTATCCGGAAAGGTGCTTCATGAAATGGGCATTGCATCTGATTGATGGAACATGTCCTGCCTCTGGTGGGGACAGCATTTGCACACCCACCCCTCCCCCTCCCTCCTACTAGCAAAGTCTCCATCAGATATTCTACATTTAAAGGGATCGCCTTTAACCAATTCAAGCTGATCTCCCTGCCTGTCTAGCCTACTGCCTGGCTGTATGCATAGGCTTCAGTAGTGTCTCCTGAAACAAAAAGTGTTTAGTAATTTCTCCTATGTGTTGAGCACCTGTGGCATGAACCACCATGCCGTCTGGCTTTGGCCACAGTCTTGGCGTCAGCATATCAGAGCAGCCTGGGCTGGCTGGGTGCTGCTATTGGCCCTGAAGGGGCCAGATGTGTGTGTCTGTGTACAGAGCCAAGCAAGGGAAGGGATGCTGTGTATGTAATAAAAGAAGTCTGCTTTTATGGTGATGGGAGCGTTGGGGGAGAAGGGAGATGTGCCTTACTTTTTGACAGGTGACAGGTGTTTATTCTTCAGCCCCTCAGAATGTATTAACAGCACATTTACTGAATCCCCAGCTTTATTTTCAAAACACAAGTTGCATTTTCTGTTTGTGATACCATTTTTTGAGGCAATAAAGGGTTCGCAAAGTGGTCTGCATGGTCTTTTGGTGGGGTGGCAGCAGCTGCTGACAGTCCCATGAGCTTCTCATGTATTTCTGAGGGCTGTGTCTGAGGTGTGTGGGGAAGGATGGGGGCAGGGGATTGGCCTCCTCTGGGCCAGCAGAGCAGCAGCTGCAGACTTGCACAAGAGGATCTATGTCCTCTGCAGACATGACTGGTTTTTCTTTTTTCTTTTTTGGTACTGGGAATCAAACTTGCTTGCCAGGCAGGTGTTGTGCTGCTGAGCTATATCCCCAGCCCATGACTGGGTTTTTTTTTTAAAGACTGGGTGTGGTGGTACATACTTGTAGTTCCAGCTATGGGGAGGCCAAGGCAGGAGGACTGTTGAGTTTGAAGCCAATCTGATAAGCATAGCAAGTCCCTGTCTCAAAAGCGGTAATAAAAAATAAAGATGGAAAGGTTTCGGCCTGCTTAGGTGAGATACCACAACTCAGTGGCCAACAAGTGACCCTGGCCTCCCCCCCCAGTGTGTACAGATGGGAATGTGACTGCCGATGAGACAGCCCACTGTTGCTTCTGGCTCTGCCTCGAAGGGTGGCCCAAGTGTTTGTTCTGTGATCTCAGCCACGCATCAGGTTGCTCTGGCCAGAGTCCACAGCTTGGCCTCAGCATCTGCAGTTCTACTTTCCCGGATTTCCTTCTGAACTGTCCTACTTATTGCCGCTCCTCCTGCCCTGATGGCGCTCACCTTACCTCTGGGACTCGGATAGGCTGCTTAGATGTTTCCTATATATTTCTTCCCTAGACTTGCACTATGCCTGTGATGTTCTAGCACTATATTTACCAGCAATTCTTAGTTGCAATAACCAGCAGTAACTACAGTATGATCCTACTTCATGTATTTAAAGTCCTACTTCAGGTATGCTTGCAATATATAGATTACACTCACCATGGCGAGTTGGTATGTGTACATATCTTTTTTCTTTTTTGGTTTTTCTGAGACAGGGTCTCACTATGCAGTTCAGGCTGGTCTTGAGCTTACTATGTAGCCTACAGTGACCTCAAACTTATGGTGATCCTCTTGCCTCAGCCTCTTGAATGCTGGGGTTACAAGTGTGCAGCTAATAACACATTTTAATTGTTTTCCCCATCCCTATTCTACTTTAAATCACCAGGGTGGGGGTGACCCAAACTCAAGCCTGGGCTGTTAAGGCGAAACACTCTGCTTGCACCATCTCTTTAGGTCCATGCTTAGAGGAGCTACAATTTATACGTTGGCTCTTTTCTTAGTAGCTTCCAGGTGGATCTGCACTCAAATATATTCTCTGTATCACTGCTTCTCTTACTGCCTCCTTTTAATAGTGGTAAAGAAAAGATAGTTCTTACCACAAAGCTCTTTTTCTAGACATATTACCATAGGGGTTTGCAGTCTGGAATCACTGCACCCTGTTCTGGCACCATAAAGGAGCCGAGGAGGAAGCCAACCCAGTCGGACAAAGCTGAATCACAGAAAACCACAGCTGGAGTCCAAATCAAACCATTCCTGCACACTGTGATCCTCGTAACTCCTTGGCTATGTCAGCCGTGTGTTCTTTACTGGGTAAGGTAGATTTTGTTCCTTTCACCTGAGGAGCTGCTGGAAGGACTGGGGATGCAGTTCAGTGATAGAATGCTTGCCTACAATGTTCAAGACTCTGGGTTCAATCTCTAGTGCTGCTGGGGCGGTGGGGGAGGGCTGACAAACTCCCACTGTATTTAAGTATCAGTGTTGCTGACCTTCATACCCTTGCAGCCTCTGCTTCCTTCACTTCCTCTCCCTCTAGCTGCACTGAGCTCACTCTTTGAGCAGGACTCTGCCTGCCAGTTGCTGCTCCCTCGGCCTTCAATGCGTACTTCATGTCTCAAGACGTCGACTCCAGAGCTTGAGTCTCACCTAAAATCCCACCACCTTGGGAAGTGGTTTCTGATTCCTCCATGTCCTCTACCTCCGTCCTCTTGTTCAAACACCTTGTCTTCTGTAGGATTCTTCCCACTGTTGCAAGTTCTTCTATGGCTCACTTGTGGATTCTGCTGCCTTGACTACAGTGTAAGCCCCTCGGGAACGGGGTTTGCCTCTCCTTCTCTTTCCCAAGTGTCTGTCTGGCACAGACAAATAATAAACACTTGTTGAAACGGCAAGTGGCCTTTCCAGTACATGCGGCATGTGCGGGGGGGGGCAGCGGCTGGAAGAGCCTTTCAGGTGTGGAAGGAAGCTGCCTGCTCCAGGGCATCACCCTTGGGGTCTAGTTGGCTCCTTTCCACCATCATGCAGCTGTTCTTTCTATGCCAGTTCTGTAGGATTCTTCTATTGAGCAGGACTTTGCCTGCCAGTTGCTGCTCCCTCGGCCCTTGGTGCCTACTTCACATGTCAAGACATTGACTCCAGAGCTCTCCAGAGCTTCTCCAATGCTGTATCCTCAAGAATCCATTTCCTTAGGTAGAAAGTAAGAAAGGGTCCTGATGTTGAGTTGTGAACTTAGAACCTTGATGGGATGGGAAAGAAGAGGAAGATTTGACTTTAAGAATGTAAGAAACTCAGCGAGGTGGCACGTTCCTGTAATTTCAGCGCTCTGGGAGGCTGATGCAGGAGGACTGCAGGTATGAGCCCAACCTGGGCAATTTAGCAACTTAGACCTTGTCTCTAGATAGATAGAGACAGAGAAAGAGCACAAGCTAGGGATGTAGCTCAGTACAAAAACCCTGACTGGATGCCCAGTATGGGGGGAGTAGGGGAGAGAGAGGGACAGAATGAAAGTAAGTGACAATAAGGAACAGATGGTGTGGAGTCAGCTGGGCTTACCTGACTCAAGCTGTCCTCAAGTGGTAGATCTGACAGACAGAAAGCGGTGGCCCTCTCACCATAGGCTCAGGCAGCGCCAGGCTGCTCTTGCCTTAGAGGACGTCAAAGCACAAGGAGTGAGCACAGCAGAGGCTTTTGTTTTGTTCTTCTAATTACAAAATTTATTACACAAATACAGCTGACCAGAAGGTCTAAAAAGAGCCCAGACGCTTCCAACCCTTCCCTGCCTGTGGGTAAGACAGGAGCCCTCTTTGGAAGCACTGCCTGTCCCCAGCACAGTTCCAAGTCTTGGGTCTAGCAGCAGAAAGGAGCCCAGTGTGTGTGGACGATGTCAAGAAGCAGCCCTTGATCACAGCCGCTCAGGGCGGGCAGCAGCTCTGAGTTTCATAGTTTCATGTTCCCAGCACACGAATCAAATCAAGGAATGGAAATAAAAGGCAAACAAGCAGAAGGCTTCTGGAAAAGGGAGCCCGGGGAGCAGGGTGGTCACAGGTGGGGAAAGGACTCGGTGGGCTTCCGAGGTATGGCGATTTCTGGACTTCGATGGTGTTAAGGACAGTATCCACTTTAAAATTATCTTTAAATTACCCAGACATGTGATGTGCTTTTCTGTGTGCAGGACACATCTTAAAAATTTTTTAAAGGAAAACAAAACCAGAAAAATGTAGAGGATAAAAGTGGTAAAAGGGCTGAGGATGGAGCCAAAAGAGAAGAAATTAAAGAGAAGAGAGGATGAAGGAAGAAGACAGCTGAGGCGGAAGATGACAGCGTCCTGGAGGTGGTAGTGCCGGCCTCAGTTCCTCTTCTTCTGCCTGGACACTGGCTCTGCTTCCAGGTACCGGAGCCCGACCAGCATGCCCAGGATTGAGAAACCTTAAACACACAGAAAAGAGGAGTGATGCACATGAACTCAGCCTCTTGGAATTCCTGGACAGCCCCAGTGCTGAGCCGGCCGCAGCAGGTTTGGGGTGGTGGGGTGCTTACTTGCTACCATCAGGGGCGCCAGGACACCGATTGTGGGAGCTGCAGTTCCGAACACCAGCAACTCAGACAGGAAGTGACCCAGGGCGAGGAAGAAGGTCCACAGCGTGATGTGATAGAGCCTAAGCGGGCAGCAGAGACAGGAACTAGTTACTGCTCCTTCAGTACGGACTGGCAGAGTCAGACCTGAGGCACAGGAGTGATGACTGTGGCTTACAAGAAAGCACACTTGTTCAGGAAAGCACCTGGCTATTTGATCATATCACTTTGCTGTCACCTAGGGCAAAACTAAAGGTTTTGGAGGCTGATCTGAGAGAATGGTCCAGATACCCAGAGTGGGCTCTGAGTCTTAGTGGGGTGGAGAACCCCACAAGAGCCATGCAGAGTCTGCATTGTGGCAATCCTAGGCAGTGTGCACAATTCAGGGTCAGTCACTCTTACATATGCTACTCATGTAGCTGGTGGACTTCTGCAAATTGGTGTCTGTCCGCACGCTATCACTTGGGTTGCTGATAACATTTCTTTCTTATTTTGAGTCAAGAGTATATATAACCCAGGCTGGCCTTGAACTAAGAGATCCTCCTGCTTCAGCCTCCTGCATGCTGGGATTACAGGTGTGCACCACCATGCACTGCCTGTGACAACATTTTTCTAAACTATGAAATTAAAAAATTTAGAGAACACTTCAAACATAAAAATTGATACAATATTATAATGATCCCGATGCAGTCAGTATCCAGCTCCATCAAATCTTAACACTTGGTCATTTTTGTTCGGACACTTTTAAGTAAAATATTACAAAGAAATAAAGTATGTCAGGTGTGGCTGTACATTCCTATAAGCAGGAGGCTGAGGCAGGGGTATTGCCATGGGTTTGAGGCCAGCCTGGGCCACACAGTGAGTTCAAGGGCAGCCTGAAATACACAGTGATAAAGTTTACAGATAACAGTTAAAGCATCCTCTGTATCATTATCCTGTCTTGATCTCTTCCATCCTGCCTCCCCAGAAGTAAATGGTTTTACTATTCTGATGCAAGTTTTTATACATTTAGTAAACAAGGGTGCATGTGTGTTGCTTTTGCTTTTCAAGTTAGGGAGGGAATAAGATCAGAGTACACACTAGAAGTGCCTAGATCAAAGTCCTACACTAGAAGGGCTGGAAACTGCAAGTCAGCTGCCCGTACTGGGTGAAGGGAAAAGTGAACAGGTAAGGGAGGTAAGGTTAAGTGTGAATCACCTCTGCTTACTGCAAAGCACAGCAAAATGAAGATGCAGTCCTTATGCCCATTAGCAATTCTTCACCATGGTGAAGATCTTTGAACTAATTATTCAGTCCTCCCTCTTAGTCATCCTGAGACAGAACAGCCATCTTTATCATTTTATAGATGAGCAGTCCAACATGAGGAGAAAGTAAGTAATGAACTTGTTGCTATGAAGCTAGTTACCAACAAAACAGACCAAAATTCATGTTCTTGTTTTCATTCTTGGCCCAGGATATTTCCACTAAACCACATGGCTTCCAAAAATATGTGTCAATCTAGGGCAAGTAAACCACAGTTTCAAGTAAAAAAAAATTTAAAAATAAAGTTGGAGTGATTAGAGGACTAATAGCCTTGCTTCAAATCCCACTTGAGTCAGTCTTCTTCGGTTTAAATTAATTGGGTCTCTGAGATTTAGATCTACAAACTCAGGAATGAAAATCACTACCTCGTAGGGCTGTTAGGAGGAGGTTTAATCAAGGTCATGGAGGCGAAAGCTCGTGACACGATTAGAGGGGTTCCATGAGTTATTACTGTCTCCTCTTTCCCCCAGCTGCTAAGAGCTTGAATAAGACAAAACTCTTTCAGTGTGAGGTTGGCATTTTGAGTCTTACCCTGTAGACTGAACAATCTCTGGTTTGTGATGATGATTGCTAGGAAGAAAGCTTCGCGCCCTCCAGTGGCCAGAACTAGATATGGCATTATTTAGACAGGAGGCTACCACTGCCTGCAATCGTTCCAAGCTGAATTAGTCCCCAGAGAGGCAGCACACAGGTTACCTTCCCCGCCCCACTTACTGACTCTGCCTAAGCAGACATCAGCTTACTCGTGGGGTCCTCTTTTCTCATGGGTTTGACTTGTGTTCATGCCTGCTTCTAAGGACAAATGTGAGAAACATATGCATGGGCAGTCATTCTAAAAAGAGCGTACCAGGGCTGGGATGTAGTTCAGTGGTACAGTGTTTGCCTGCCATGAGCAAGGCCCCAGGTTCAGTCTGCAGCACCACAAAATAAAATACAAAAAACTGAACTAAAAAAGAACATACCACTCTACTACTTTTGTAGAGGAAAGACTGATTCTTTTCTTTTTTCCCTTCCCCTTGGACTCTTGGTCCTTCCTAGTGCTGGGATTATAGGTGTGCACCACCATACCTGACTGAAAGGCATACTCTAGAAAAGAAGGTGAGGGGCATGATTCAGACTACTGCAGTTTGCTACGTGAGTTCCAAAGAAATTTCAGATTTGAAAGACTTGTTATGTCTATTACGTTTTTTAGGCTTGGGAGGAATGGAGTCTATTCGTCTTTTATTATCCACATTTTAGGTTAATGGAGTAAAATGATTCTCAGGTCCCATCAATAGGGGTGATGGGGTTTGCCTAGCACCCACTTCCCACAAAAGGATGCTAAAGCTCTTCCTTCCCTTACATACGTCTTGTTGTGGATGTCAATGGCACAGAGGCAGCGAATCACTGATGAGAGCAAGGTCCAGATCCCAAAGGTCCGGGCTTGGAGGCCATTCACTGTGTAGCAGAAAAAGCAAGAGTATTGAGAAGGGGAGGGCTGGAGCTCCTCCCCACTCCTATTTCACAGTGATTCACAGGAAGTAGCTGAGCCTGACCTCCCTGTGGCTGGGCAAAACGGAGGCCCTGGGGACAAGGAGGAGTGGAAGGAAATTCTAGAATGAGAACTACGCAGATCCTCTTCAGATGTCTACAGTTTGAAACCCAACAGAGCACACACTCAGGCAAATAACTCCTGGAAGCAGCTTACCCTGCCTGTTCCTGGAAATGCAGGCAGTGTGATCAGGACACGCTCTGCGCACATGGCAGTGCGGCAAAGTACTATTCCTTTGAGGTTCTCTGAGGAAACTCTGTTCTTGGTGGCATCACTCTGACAATGCTATTAAACATCCTGTCCCAAAAGTATGTGCCATATTCCACCATAACAGTGGTGCTTGACCCTGAACACTTACTACAATCAGCTAAGAGAGTTTTATAAAGTTACTAAGGCCTGGGTGTTCGCCCAAATGCACTATGCTCTCTGGAGGAGGCCCCAGCATAAATATTTTCTAGAAACTCTCTGCTGGGTGATTTAAATGTGTAGCCACTGACCTAAGGCAGCCAGTGGCTCGGAAATGCCAAAACAGTGAAAGCAGTGATACTTCCTCTGCTGCCTTATCCATTGTTGAACAACACGATTCTCAAGGGACAAGACCAACAACTGAAAGATCTCTTAATATTTACCTGGGCTTTAAGAATATTCCAGCTTTTGGAAAACCAGATTGCTCTACCAAATTCACAACAATGAAAACTTTTAGATGGTAGTCAGAAAAAAAAATTCCAGATGCCAACCAAATATCTATATTATCCCTAGAGGTCTACATTCTCTAAAACCAATTGGATAGTTCTTTTTATGAAAAGCCTTACAGCAAGTCCCAGGGCCTCTAGGTTTCTCTATCTCAATTTTTTTTTATTGGTACATCTTTGCAGTGCATACTGATTGTATTCCTGATGCACAGTTGGTACATGTACATAGCACGTCTTAATTTTTTTGTTGTTGTTTTTGTTTTTGGGGACAAGGTCTCTCTTGTAGTGCAGGCAGGCCTTGAACTCACTTTATAGCCCAGGCTGTATTTATGGCAATCCTCCTGCCTCAGCCTCTCAAGTGCTAGGATTAGAGGCTTGTGCCACCAAACCCAGCTCTTGGTCTGAATTTTAAAATCAAAGGGCTAGATCAGATAATTTTTAAAATCCTGTGTACACATACAAGGTCCTAGGACCATCTGAGGGCAGTGCTTGAGGGTTAAAAAAAAAAAAAGAAAAAAGAAAAAAAAGACTCTTCCTACTCACTTTGCCAGGTTCTTTATTCCGGTCATAGCTGAACTATGTTCAAAATAAGCCTCAGCCAGCTGTGGTGAAAAAAGAACCCTTCTCCACTACTGGTGCAAGTGTAGAGTGGTGCAACCACTGTGAAGATCAGTCTGGGGATTCCTCAGTAAACTAGGACTAGAGGTCCCATTCAACCCAGCTATTCCCATCCTGGGTATTTTCCAGAAGAACTACAAACATCATACCACAGTGATATATGCGCACCCATGTTTATAGCAGTGCAATTTGTAATAGCTAAATCGTGGAAGCAGCCCAAATACCCATCCACTGAGGAATGGATAAAAAAGATGTGGTATTTTTATACAATAAAAATAAAAAGAAAGATAAACTCAAGGCTTTTATAGGTAATGGATGCAACTAGAGACCATACTCATAAGTGAAATAAATCAGACTCACATGTGTAAAGATTGCATTGCCTCCCTTCTATAAGAACCTGAAAGAGTAAATAAAATCTGAAGGGTACAATACATATTGTGAAAGGGAAAGAAACCACTCAGATAGGAAGGAGCCACTGGGATGAAGGAGTAGAGAGGAAAAAGAAAGAAGAAAGAGAAAAAATATGTATATACATATATACAAGATAACTAAGATAATTGTACTACTAATCTCTATTGGATTATTGAAAGGAACAGTTAATGTGTAATTGTTTGATCAATCTTACACGCCTATATCTCATTATCTGAGCAACCACTTTGAAGATAACATTATGTAATATAACAATTGTTAATTTCCTATCACCTTGTTTTGAATTCTGTATCATGTTTATTGTTTTTTTATGCTGTTTTGTTTATGTATTTATTTTTGTTATTTTGCCTTTTTTGTCTTTTTGTTATTTTTATATTTATTTTTATTATTTTTTATTATTTATTTAATATTTAATAATATTTAATAATTTATTTAATATTTATTTAATAAATATTTGATAATATTTTTATTATTTATTATTTTATTATTATTTTGTATTTTTGTATTTATTTTTGTTATTTTGTATTTTTGTTATTTTGTTATATTTTCTTTTGTCTTTAAAATGAAAAAAAATTTATATGCATATACAAGTATAGCTAAGATAGGTATATTGCTGATGTCTGTGGTTTATTGAAAGGAACAGCTAATGCTTAAAATTTTTTTATTTTCTTGACAAATTTTGCATGCTGGTATCTGGTAATCAGAATAACTGATCTGAAGACAACAATATGCAGTATAAGAACCATTGTTGAACTCCTACCATCTTGTATAGTGAAGCTCTGCATCACTTCCAGTGGTTTTTGTTGTTTTTTTTTTTCTGGTACCAAGAATTGAACTCATGACCTTGTGCTTGCCAAGCAGGCGCTGTGCTGCTGAGCTAAATCCCCAGCCCCTGGTTTGTTTGTTTTTTTATTACTTGTTACTGTCTTTGATTGTTTGATCAATCTTGCATTCTTACATCTGGTGGACTAAGCAACTTTGTTGAAGATAATAGTATGTAGTGTAGCAACCACTGTTAATTTCTATCATTTTGTTTTGAGATCATGTATTGTTTTTGTTGTTTTTGTTCATTGTTATTGTTCTGTTAGTGTTTTTCTCTTTAAAATAAAAAAATAAGCCTCAGCCTACTTAATTTCATTTTATACCCAGATGTTGCAGAAAAAGTAAGCTAGGTCAGATTCTGAATTTGGGTTAGCTATAAATGTGACAGAGAACTATCAGCCACTATGAAATAGCGCCGAAGCTCAGAGCATCCCCCAAAATAACATGATGAAGTGCATGCTGCAGTTAAACACATCCAGCAGAGAGGTCGGGAACGCAGGAAAGGCCGCTGCGAGCATTCAGAGGGTTCACTCTGAGAGACCAACTTGGAGAGACTTAGGGTATTTGCTCAGGGACTCCATCATGGCTCGGGAAGACTGAAATTAGTAACTGTCCATCTGTAGCATGGACATAAACCATGTGTGCCACAACCTGATTTCTAGAGAGGGCTCAGAGATACTATTAAAAGCTTCTTTATGGCCTTTTCTAGTCAAGTACCCCAGAGTCACCGAATGAGGGCTCCCTTCCCTTAAATCACCTTTTGTACACACTAACTGTCCAGGCAGTGAAATGAATCAACAGCTATCCAGAAAAACTTGGGATAAAAGGGTAAAGTTCTCCACAAAGCCTGTTACCCCTGTAGCTATCAGAGGCTAGATCAGACAACCTCGGAATCACCTGGAGGTTTTAAAAACTAGATTTCTGGCCCCTCCTAGGCTCAATAATTAGATTCAGAGAGGGAAAAGGGTAGCTTGTACCTTGTCCTTTGTTTGTTTTTAAGTTTTCTGGGTGGTTCTGGTTTGGGAACCACAGCGAGGCCACTCCTAAATAGGATGCAGTTCTTTGGTTTCTTACCAAGGTTGGGTTTGCCAGTGTAGAGCTTTTCATAGAGAAAGGAGTGGTCTCGGAAGCTCTGGAGCGTGTTCCCCATGGCTATGATGGATACCATGACCAGCCAGCTTCGTAACACATTCAGGAAACGGCTCATGATGATCCCGACGTCTGAGAGGGCGTTTGCCTTGAAAACAAAGGCAGAGAACATGTAACAATGCAAACAGTACCCTTTAACCAGAAGCTCTGTCACTAGCCTGTGGTCAACCTATGACCCACTTATGAAGGCTTTACTAAGCTTAATTGGATAATAATTTTATGAATTGCTCTCCAAGTCCTTTAGGCCCATCTAACCCCGGTTTTCTTGACACACTAATTTTTTTTTTTTTTTTTTTTGAGACAGGATTTTGCTAACATGCCCAGATCTCCTCAAATTTGCAGTTCTCCTATCTTAGGTTCCCAAATAACCTAGCTTAACACACCTCTCTTGCTTTACAGGGCTAGCTTTCTGCCTGGGAATATTTACTCTAAACCAAAGTATGGTGACCTTCCATTCACAGTGACAAGGGCTAAATGATACAAAGGGTGGAAATAACAAATCTAGTGGGGAAGAAATGGAGAGAAGGGAACAGAAGTAAAGGAGGTGTACAAATATTACTATCAAGCAGTAGAATGGAATTCTGTGTAAGATTTATGGAAATTGGTCTCAATAGTTTATGATACTAATAGTGGTGAATGAACAGAAGTAGTATGTGGCATAATACTTACATATAATGTGGCAAGAGAAGTAGTACGTGGCACAATACTTTTCTTTGTCCAAGTAATTCCTCCAAATATAGTATTAGCCTAAATGAGAACTGTTTTCTCTTGGGTGGAATCAGTACTCTAGTATCTTTGCCTTTTAGCAAGTGACTGAAAGAAGTCCACCTTTCCTTCCCTTCCTCCCTCCCTCCTTTCCCTTCCTTCCTTCCCTCCCTCCCTTTCTCCCTTCCCTTCCTTCCTTCCCTCCCTCCCTTCCTTCCTTCCTTCTTTCCTCCTTCCCTCCCTCCCTCCCTCCTTTCCTTCCTTCCTTCCTTCCTTCCTGTCTCCCTTCCTCCCCTCCCTTTCTGTTTCTATCCAGAGTAGTACGAAGGATCAAACCCAGGGCCTTCACCCTGAGAAACATCTTCCAGTGGCTTTTTTTTTTTTTTTTTTTTTTTTTTTTTTTTGGAAGACGAAGTTTCACTGAGTTGTCCACACTGGTCTTGAGTTTGTAATCTTTCTGCCTCAGCCTCCCAGAGTGCTGGGACTACAGGTGGATGCCACCACACCCAGCTTCAAAAATGACTATAAACCTACTCACAGATACTGCCTGTTTATTGATGACAGATTCTTTTAATGCTACAGAAACTTTATATATTTTTAAAACCTATGATGTGCTGCACCACTTATATCTTTAGGTTCTCTCTGTTCTTCAGATACATCATGCTTCATAAACTGGAACAATCTAAAAGTTTAAAATAAATAAGCTGCTGTGACCTTAGAAATAGTAAGATTATATGGAGAAAGCAACAGTTTTGGTATGGGTTGGAACACCAAGAAAATAACAATAAATATTAGTTATTGCGCACTTCCACTGCCACTATGCCAAGCACCTGACATACTACTATCTCAGTTAACCCTTACAAGGTAGGCAGATAATATTAGTATTTATTTTATTAGAGAGAGTTGGTCAGACAGGCTGTGATTAGCTTGAGGTCATTCAGCTAATATATGACAGAGTTAAGACAGAACCATAGTCTGTAGAACTCTATATTGCAATACTACCTCATTTAGAATGTTCTGATGAAGTTCCTATTTTTGAGGAAGACAAGCATATCATTATCACTCTATCTTCAAATTGTATGAAAAATACAATTAGGTTAGTTGTTTTAAAAGTTTAGATTAACCCTTGCTGAGTAAGATTTCAATCAGTTTGATTTAAATGAATCCTATTTAAAGAATCTAATAAAAGAACAAGTTTCTCCCATCACCACCACTACTGTCAGGCCCACGGTGTATTCTCTGTTGTCAGATTAACTTCTTGGGCCCAAAATGATGATGAACTATAGGGCCTCCTTTGCCACTCTAGCAATAGAAGTTTCAATATGGTCCCACACCACCCAGCTGAGATAGGTAGGTATTACAGTCAGCAATGGCCCAAGACAGCTTGAAGCATCAAAACCCAACAGAAAAAAAAAGCTCTAGAGAAGACAGGGTGAACTGATGAATCTCTCAGGTAAGCATGGATCAGAAGGGTGGCCTCCGCTGCCGCCAAGAGAGAATAGGGGTCCATTAGACATCGCAGTCACTGCATGGGCCATGACCCATCTTTCTTTTTTATGCCAGTAGGAGAGTCAGGTCTCCTCTTAGGTTAGAAAAGCTGCATGGACGCCCCACGCACCCACCAGCCCACTCTCCAGCAGAACTTACAAATCCCTGAGCCTTTCAAAACTGCTTCCGCCAGTTCCTCAATCCCATTACCCTGGCTCTACTGTTCTATAGCTATGTGACCCTGGGCAAGTAATTTATCTTTTGCAGCCTAATTTGCAAAATGGGGGTACACATAACTCCCTGAAGATCATAGGAATCACATGAGAAAAAGTGAAGGCCTCTTGCACAGTGCCAGGCTCACAGTGTCTGCTCATGCGTTCATCCATTCTTTCCTTCCCCGAGTTTACTAAGTCCTCTCCATCTTCCTACCGTAGCTCCCTCTTGTCCTGGCCTTTCGAACTCTTCTTCCCTAAAAGGTGGGCCCCCAGATAACCCCCATCTTTCCAGATTCTCCATATCCTCTCAGTCAGGTAGGACACAGACACCTACACCTTTCTCCAAATCCTACCTGTCAATCCGACCCCCAGGACCACAGCAGCAGCAAACAAGCTCCCCCAAGCCAGCTCCAGCCCGGGTCCACCTGAGCCATTTGTCTCCGCCCCGCCCTCAGCCCCGCTGCAGGATTGGGTCGTCCCAGGTAGCCCTCTTTCTGATTGGCTGTGCCGGTTTTGATCGAGCAGGAGATGGGGAGTGAACCCCTTTGCTGCCAATCAGCGGTTGCCGCTGCCTAAACCTTCTCCCCGGTACGCCGCCCACGCACTACACCCTCCCGTTGAGCGTAGCGGAACTCTGAGTTTGGAGTCAACCTTTTAGGGGCGGAGAAAAAACCGAATAAAAGAAGCCAAGATTCCTTTCTGCCTTGGGCAGGGCTTTGTGCCCGCGTCGCGATGACGACATCCGTCCGCGCCGGCAGCCCAATGTGGTCGGTGTCGGGTGGTGTGCGCCTGCGCGGTGGCTCCGAGCGGGCGGTTGCTTGTTGGTTGTTGTAGTAACGGGGAAGCAGCAGTCGGCGGCTGCTGTGAGCCTGGCTGGGGAAGGAGGAGGGAGGTAGGCGCAGAGCTCGGTCCCCGCCTGCCCGCCCCGAGCCATGGGAAGATGAGACAGGTAAATCCTTGCGCCCGCGCGCTCCCCTGTTGGAGGGAGGTTCGCTCCTGGTCCTAGGCGGGCGCCCTGCACTTCCCTGCAAGAGTCCCGGAGCCGCTGTTAGCTAGCCTCCGGGCGCGCCAGGCTGATCACTGCGGCAGAGTCGCCGAACCCTTCCCGAGGGGAGACTTTGCAGACCTGCCTGGGATTGGGGTGAGCTGGGCGTGGTGCTGAGGTCATGCCCTTGTAGGACAAGACCTCCTACTAGCGAGTCTTTAATCTTCCGAGAGCCAAGTCTCTGCGCTGTCTGTAGGGAGCGAGAGAAAGGCTGGCATCCCTTCCTCGCTTGCAGGTTTTGTTGATAAGTTAAAGGACTTAGCATTCTTTTGGGAAGATCGGGAAATGCCTTTGGGAGTCTCTGAGGAGAGTCATTGAGGTTATTTGATATTGTCCATATTTCCTCTGAAGATCTGTAGGGATCCTTACCAGGATCGGTGTTTTTTTGTCTTATTTACAATAATAACGTAAATATGAGTTCATAAAACATTTGGACAGATTGATGTGGAGTAGTTATCTCAGGGTAATGGGATTATGAGCATTTAGACATTTTCATTACAGTATATGTAGTTTTACTTCTCTCTCATAAAACAATGAACATGTACTTTTTTCCTATGGAAAAATATTTTGTTAAAAATGTGTTGGGAGGCCGGGGATATAGTTCAGTGGCACAGCGCCTGCCTGGCAAGCGCGAGGTCCTGAGTTTGATTCCTGTACCCCCCCCCCAAAGTGTTGTGATGGAAGTTTTCTAATCTTAAATCTAATTTAAGATTCAGATAGATGTTTGTGATTTTAACTAAGAGAGAGTAATTATTAAGATAATTCGGAATGACATTGGTCCCCTCCCAAGTATATGACCCTTGATTAGGGGAAATATATTTATTGGTATTTTAGTTTAGTTGAATTGGTTTGACTAGAAACATAATGGCATCTTGCCTGGGTGCTTTTCTTCTTTTCTTTTTTCTTTTTGTCTTTTTGAGACAGAGGCTCGCTGTGCAGTTCAAGCTGACCTTGAGCTCACTTTGTAGCTCAAGCTGGGCTCCAACTCGCAAAGATCCTTCTGACTCAGCCTCCCGAATGCAGGGATTACAGGCATGAACCACCACACCTGGCTCAGTGTCCTTTTCATAGAGTCTAAATAAATACTTGGAAAGGTCTTGAAGATTGAGTTTTAATTTTTATTTTTAACCCCAGTTAGATTTGTCTAGCAAAGAATTATGTTTTAGGGAATCAGCCCCCTAACTCAGGATGCCCTAAAAGTGGAGTTGATCCTTTTAGTTAATGGAAGATCTAGTGTATAAAGGACACATGAGAAACTCAAATTTAATAACAGCTCTTATATGCACAGAGACAGTATGTTTGAAAAAATGTAGATTTGTGTGTCGTATGTGAGGCACTGTGGCAGAGGTAACCTTGCAGAGATTGGGCACTATTTAGGAATATACACACTTCCATTATTTGGAAGATCATCAGCAAAATCAAGGAACAGAGAGCTGCCTTGTGTTTCAGATCACTTGATTTTCTTGCAGGAATCTGTGCCACCCAAATTGTCTGATCCAGTGAATTTGCAAGGAGAGGTCTCTGAGGCCCCTGTTTGCTGACTATATGACAGACCCTGAAGGAGATGCCAGTTGTGATGGCCCGGGACCTGGAGGAAACTGCGTCATCCTCAGAGGATGAGGAGGTGGTAAGCCAAGAGTAAGTCCCAGCAAGCCTGCTTTTGGTTCTTTGCTGTTAGGATGAAAATTAGCTTCTTTTTCTCATATGTTCTTTTGCCCTGTATATCTTTCCTTTGATATTGTCTGATTCTGATTTTAGCTTCTATCCATGATCTCATTCAAGATCTTATTGCTCAGTTCTATCAGCCATCACAACTGAGGGGAAGTTGTGTTTCCGGACTTATGAGTGAACATCAATGCTACATGGAAAATGTAGGTAGTAGGTCTTGGTGATCTCTTGGTCAGAATTTCCAATGCAGAAGATTTTGAAGTTTTTATATATTGGGGAAATACTTTTCCCCAGACTCTGTGATGTTGATTTATATTATGCTAGCTTTCCTAACAGCCTTTACAATGGTAGAATGGTAGTATATAAAGAAGTCATGTAACCATAGCAACTTGGGGAAGGATATTAGAGTTCTGTAGCCTGTGCTGTGTATCCTGAAACACACAGTTGCTTTCTTGAATTCTGTTAGGTTAAGAGTCAGTTTTCTTGACTGTTTGAACTTCTTAATAAAATGAGTGATACTAATTAGTGTAGCTATTATAGACTATAGTAAAGCTCTCTACCTCATTTAATCTGAAGATTAAACTCTTGCATCTTATTTAGTGTGAAGATGTTACTGTTTCCACTTTACTAAACTCATTCTTAGAAGTGTCAAGATGGGTATAGTGTACATGGCTCTAATCCCAGCACTGAGGAGACTGAGGAAGAGACTGGAACTTCAAGGCCAGCTTGGGCTCCATAGTGAGTTCAAGGCCAACCTGAACTACACAGTGTGATCCTGTCTCCAAAAAAGAAGTATCAAGAAACTTCCTCAGGGACCCTTACAGAGTGTGGTGGGTTGAGTTTCAGACTTACGTTTCCTGGATTTTGAAGGACTTTGCTATTTTGCTTTCTTTAACATTATTATTTGACACAAAATAGAGAATCTAGCTTAAAGTTAACATACATATTTTATGTGTCTGTGATCCTTTTGGATATGCACATGCTATGTAACCTGAAAAACAGGAATAATATCTCCCAGGCTATTTTGTAGGGACATGATTGGGAGTTAATAGAATAATATTGGTGAGATTACTTGGTAAATTATAACATACCATACAAGTGTAAGGCACAATTCTTGCTGGTTTTAATATTGAATTTATGGTAGACTTTTTATAAGGTATAATATTACTTAGTATCATTTAAAGAAAATTATAGAAGCATTAATAAATCTTTAAGTTAAAGGCTTCTCTTCGTTGTTAGGTCATAGAAAATAATAGTGATTTGACAATATTATTTGGGTCATTCTCTTTCAGGATAATTAAATGGATAATTCCCACTGGTTATTTTGCCATGTCCCATTTTGCTTGCAGTGTGCTGCCTTTTACCAGCTCCTAAAAATTTTTAAGTTCTGCTCAAGCATCAGTCTTTCCATTTCAAGATTATCTCTTATTTGTAGGTGTCGAGTTTGTGCAAACATAAAGTTTGTTGCTTGTATTCATAATTGAGAAATGCTAAATTGCCAATAGAACTTAGTAAAATATAGATGTATTTTAAGATATTCCTCACTCCAATCCAAATTCATGAGAATTTTGATCTTCTTTTTCAAACTCCTACTGTTGATTTTTAACTATTAATTTTGTTTCTCAGCTTACATCTTATCTATCAGATACTTGTTTTATACATTAGGAAGCTTAAATCCGTTTTTATCACATCTGGGGCAGTGGCTTACATTTGAAAAGTTTTGCAAGTTAGAAGATCTTAAGGCATGTAAAGAGGTGTAGATGCGTTTTGTTTTTTTTTTTGTTTTTTTTTTTTTGGTTTTTCTCCGGTACCGGGAACTGAACTCACGACCTTGCGCTTGCCAGGCAGGCGCTTTTGCCGCTGAGCTAAATCCCCAGCCCCGCGTTTTATTTTTAAAATGTGTTGCTTTGATCCAAAAATGTATGTCCATGGTTAGGAATGCCTAGTATTACTAAAAAAAAGAAAGTCTGTCAACCCTATGATTTATATCCATGGACATCAGTTTGCTCTTTGTAGGTTTCAAAGCTTTATTAAAGTATAATGCCTCGCAGGTTTTGGGGTTTTTTTGTTTGTTTGTTTGTTTGTTTGTTTTGAGACAGGGTCTTGCTATGCAGTTCAGGCTGGCCTTGAGCTCAGTTTGTAGCCCAGGCTGGCCCCGAACTTGCAACGATCCTCCTGCCTCAGCCTCCTGAGTGCTGGGATTACAGGCATGCGCCACCACACCCAGCTGCCTGGCAGTTTTTGGCTTTAGGTTTAGAAACTGTCCTGGCAGTCCTTGTTTTAGATGGTGTTATTTCACATGAACAAAGACTGTTCTATATTTGGTTCAGGAATCCTAAATACAAACTTATATGTAGATATGGAAACTTCCATATATGAACTTAATGTAAGGGTCTGGAGATGCAGCTTAGGGGTAAGAGTGCTTCCCTAGTGTGCACCAGGCTCTGGGTTAGCAACACTTAAAGGAAACAAAACAAAATAAGAACTATTGTAAGGTTTCTTTATAGTCACTGAAAAAATAATATAGTAACCTTAATTTAGTTCTTTTTAAAAAAATTTTTTTTTCAGTACTGGGTATTGAACCCAGGGTTACAGTAATGCTCTAATACTGAGCTGCAGCATACCTAGTAACTATACTTTCTATCTTAAAAGGTGGCTTTATATCAGAACAGTTAGACAGTGAGTGTTGCAGGAGTTTAGAGAAGGAGGCATCATCACAGGCTGTAAGGTGGACCATGGAGTGGGGCTGAAAGATAGGCAGACATGGGGAAGGCAGTGGTATGAAGAAGGCGCAGGAGCAGGAATACGAACACCACCTTACATCTCCATTCTTGAGTTATGTAGGCTGCTTCCAGGAGTGAATAGTATGTATTCCTCATGAAATTGGTCTTCTTAAAAACCAAAATTTTCTTTCGCTTTCAATATAGTGAACTAAAATACTGGCCTACTTTAGTAACTGATCACTCAAGTCCTTTGTTCTTTCGTGCCCCCAGAAGAAGTTTTCTTAACATATAGCAGTTTCTGATGTGATTGAAAATGTGAAGTCCCTGTGTTCAGTTTTCTCACCATTTTGGTTTTTTCCCTTTAGCACCACCTGGTGGGAGCATGCTTTTAATGACAATTTAGCATCTGCTTTAAGCACTTTTTAGGTGACTATCCTTTTTTTTAATTTTAAAAATTAAAAAATTGACAAAGCAACAATGAAGGCAAAATCAAAACAACATAAAAGCAACAAAAATGATGCATGACCTCAAAACAAAATGATAGGAATTCACAGTGGTTGCTCTATTGACTATCCTTTCATGTTATAGGTTGTAAGCTAAGGATTTCTTTGTCAGGGGTGTGGATTCCCACAGAGAGTATAGAAGGGGCCTTGGCTGTTGCCCACTGTGTATCTGTTCATTGTGTTGCTTCTCATCAGGCATTTTGACTGTAGCATTGTTTGTAGATGCCAAGGCACAGTAGTGCCAGCTAGTAGCTAGTGCTAGAATGACAAGGGACTTTGGAGAGTTTCCAGTTTCTAAGACTTTGTAATCTAGAGTGCTTGTTCTTTCCTCTAGATGACAGAAAATAGTGGAAAATTTGTATTTAGAGGAGATTATAGGGCTCATCTGGTCCCATGCTCACAGTTTACAAATGTAGAAGATTAAAAAGCAAGCAAACCACCAAAAAAAAAAAAAAAATCCTTGTTGCTAAAACTGTACCCTGTAAGCACCATTTCTCACAAATAGGTACTATTGCCCAGATTCAAGAACAAGGACAATAATGATCCATGTTCCATTTCCAGAAAATAGGAAATGAAGTAGGTATGGGGTTCTTTACCTCACTAAAAAGCTATTCAATCCAAGTCTAAAGGCTGCCTAACTGCTCAGAGTGTAGCTTACCTGCCTTTGCATTCAGAGGGTGGATCTTTCAGAGCTTGGGTTGGGAGCATATGTCTCGGCTCTGAGATTAGTGGTATGGTTTTTGTTAAGGGGTGTGGTCATGTGAGTTTTGAAGAATGGAGTGAATCTTGGCTAAACTGATCTTCCACTTAAGGAATTAGTTTTAATTTTCAGAGCGTTAAGTTTAATTGTTCAGTGTATAGAACTTCACTGAAATGTGTTTTTTCTGAAGAGTTCAAATACCTGCATACACACTTCTCTGGTTGACCAGCACAAACTAGGGACTCCATTTCATTTCATTTTCTTTTCATTCCTACCTCCTTACCCTAAGGAGGTTGAAGATTTTCCTCATCTGTGAGAAAATATCTAAGATTACTTATACTGCATTTTCCTGAGGATAGGGGAAGAATACAGTTGGAAGCCCCTTCCTGCCCTATGGTTTTATACTAGAGAAAAATATAGATTCTTCCATTTAACATAGTTTTCTTTTAAAATATGCAATTTTTTATGAATCTTGGTTTTTGTTTGTTTGTTTGTTTGTTTTTTGAGATAGGGCCTGTCTGTGTAGTTCAGACTGACCTTGGACTCACTGTGTAGCCTAGGCTGGCCTCGAACTTGCAGTAATCCTCCTGCCTCAGCCTCCCAGTGCTGGGAGTACTAGGTGTGCATTATCATGCCCAGCCGAAATATGTGATTTTAATTGGGACACTGACATTAATTTAGAGTTTCTAGCTCTGAATCTTACGATGGATCATCCAGTTGGCTTGAAAAGGCACTGTAGCGTGTAAAAGGAGAAGTGTAAATTATTTGGTCTAAATCAGGATCGTTTATGTGTCAAGGATTTAAAGTATAACTCAAACTATGCTTGATAACAAAGGGAATTTATTAACTCATACTGAGGCAAGGCTTGATTCTGCAACACCAGCTTCTTTACCCACAATCTCATTTCCCTCCTTTTCTCAGCGAGGCTCCCACTGACTTCCTCCTTTACTAACAGCTCTAGACTCTCCGCTTAATGTCATGAAGTGACTGTCGCAGTTCCACACTTTTCATTCTTATCCTTAACCAGCAAGAAAAAGAGAGACTGTCACGTATAGTTGCTGCGGAAGAAAAAGGAAGCATTCCTTTCTCAGAGGGTCTCAGCACATGTCTCCTTATTTCTCATGGGCTCTTATTGGTTTCTGTACCCTCCCAGGCACTTGTAACTGGAGGTAGTTACAAATCATGGCTGAGAGTGGAAGATGATGAGTGATTTCCCACAGGATATTTGGGCTTCTTTCTCCAGAAGGAAAGGAAAGTTGCTAAGAAACACACCATAGTAATCTACTGCAGCAGTTAATTCAGATTTTGAGCTGTAAATTAACAAGCTTCCCCTTTATTTTATGGTTGTAGAGATCATCCATGTATCATGTGGACTGGAGGCTGCAGGAGAATTCCAGTTTTGGTATTCCATGCTGAGGCTATTCTGACAAAGGACAATAATATCCGAGTAATTGGAGGTAGGTGTTATCTCTCTAATGAAGACAAAGCTGGGCATGAGCCCGACAGCTTTGTGTGGAAAAAGTAATATGACATAGTGAAATGGCCGTGTTCCTAGGAAGAATTGTTTTGTGTGGAAAAATTAATATGACATAGTGAAAGAGCCTTGTTTCTAGGAAGAGTTGTTACTTGAAAGAATGTTTATAATTTCTTAAATTGTTTTCTGCAGATGTCTTTCCTTTGAATTTTCTCAGAATTATGTGTACAAGTTTTGTTTTTAAATTGTGATAAATGACATGTCACAAAATTCACCATTTTAACCATTTTGGAGTATACACTTCATTGATACTTAGTATATTCATAATATGCATATCCACGGCTACGGTCCAGTCTCAAGACATTTTCAGCACCCCAAAAGTAAAGCCTGTACCCATTAAGCAGTCACACCCCACTCCCTGATCCCACTGGCCCCTAGCAGCTACTAATCTGCTTTTTATCTCTGAGTTTGCCTACTCTGGAAATTTCATTTAGGTGAAATCATATACCTTGCAGCTTTTCATGTCTGGGTTCTTTCACATAGCATGTTTTCAAGGTCCATCCACGTTGAAGCAAGTGTATATGTCCTTTTTTATGGCTGGATAATATTCCATTGAATTCACATACAACCTTCTGCTTGCCTATTCATCAGGTGATAGACATTTGTAGTATTTCCACTTTTGGGCCATTGTTTATACTGCTGTTGTAAAGGTTTGTAGACAAACCTTTCTTCTTGCACATCTGTTTTCCTTTCTTTGGAATATTACCCAGGAATGGAATTGTGAGGTAATTCTGTTTAACTAAGGAACTGTCGAGACTGTTTTTCACAAGAGCTGCACCATTTTACATTTCCAGCAGCAGTGTATACGGGTTCCACCTTCTCCATAGCCTTACTAATGTTACAGATTGTGAAGTGGTACCTTGTTGTGGTTTTCATTAGCCTTTCCCTAATGATAAATAACTCAAGTCTTCCTTTATGTGCTTCTTGGCTATTTGTATATCTCTGGAGAAATGTCTATTCAGGGTCTTTGGCCATTTTTTAAATTGAGTTGTCCTTTTTTGTTATTGAGTTGTTAGAGTACATTTTGGAGATATTAGATCCTTACTGGCTCAATGATTCTCCTATTTTGTGAATTGTTTTTCATGCTGAGCATTCTGTGAATTATTTTTCTATGAGCAAAAGCTTTTAGTTTTGATGATACTCAGTTTATCTATTTTCTTCCTTTGTTTCTTATGTAGTTGTTATCATATCTGAAACCACTGCCAAAGCCAAATATCCCTACATATTTTTCTAAGATACGTTTAAGATTTTATATTTAGAGTTAAATAATCTTCATCCCTTTTTAATTTTTTAAGACAGGATCTTGTTCTGTGGTTCAGGCTGGCCTTGAGCTCACTGTGTAGACCGGGCTGGCCTCAGATTCATGGCAGTCCCCCTGCCTCAGCCTCCCAAATGCTGGGATTACAGATGTGGGCCACCATGCTTGTAAATAGTCTTGATTCATCTTGAGTTAATATTCTTATATAATGTAAGCTGGGTGTAGTGGCACATGCCTGTAATCCCAGCACTCGGGAGGCTGAGGCAGGATGATCGTTGCAAATGCAAGGCCAGCCTGAACTGTATAGTGAGACCCTGTCTCAAAAAAAGACAAAAAAAAAAAAGTTAAGTAAAATTCTACCTTCATCTTTTGCATGTGGACCTGCAGTTGTCCCAGCACAATTAGTTGAAGATGCAATTCTTTCCCTGTTGAATGGTCTTGGCACTACTGTCAAAGCAATTGACCATAGATTTGTTGACTCTCTTAATATGCCACTGATCTGTACATTTATTCTTCCAGTAATTCCATACTGTTTTGATTACTATACCTTTGTATTAAGGTTTGGAATAGGGAAGTGGGAATCCTCTAACATTGTTCTTTTTCAAGATGGTATTGGCTGTTCAGAATTCTTTACAATTCCATATGAATTTTAGAGGGAATTGTTCCATCTTGCAAATTGATGTTGGACTGTTGATAGAATGTTCACTGAATCTGTGTATCACTAAGCAGCACTCTGAGTCCTGACTAGCTGTTATCAGAGGTCATAATTGTACAGATCAGAACTGCCATTGGTGTGGTGGAAAGAGTCCATTCTTGGGTTCTCTGTCATTGATTCATATATCAGCCTTGGCATTTTCTAGCAGTGAGTCTTGGGCAGGTCACTTAAACTCTCTTACCAAGTTTATTATTAGTTAGATGGGGATACTATCTTGCAGACATCGTGCAGATGAAATACAATCAATTATTTAATGTATGGTACATAGTAGACACTCAAAACTTGTACTGTTTGCTCACGAGTTGAATAGGATCTACTCCACTTTAAAATGACCTTTAAGATCTATCGTCACCCTATAATGAGGCAGGAGCTCAGAGAACTGTCAACCTGCTTTTGGGATTTGAGTGCTCCGCCCTCCCCACTGGTCTTTGTGTTTAATCACCTTAGCAATTTGCTAGTTACCACTTAAAGCAACATGGTTCCTTCATGTTCTTTGAAGCCTGAGTAACTGAAGATTGCTGAAAAACTCCCACTAAATGTGACTGGAGCCAAAATGTCAGAGTGGGTAAGAAGGAAATAAGCCCCACGTGCCTCTATTGTTCTGCTTGTCACATAAAATAATCTGTGCATCCTATGGTAATAAGCAGACCCTCCATTTTTAGATTACCCACCATTTATTGGAAAATACTATCCATCAATATTGTCAATATTTTCTAGAACTTGTAAGTTTTTGTTTACTTTTTTCTTTACGGAGTCCCATGGTGTAAAAGATATAAATCTGATCAGATCATAAGCCTGTGGTTAAATCCCCTTGAGAAGTTATCTGGGACACCAGTAATCTTTTGTTGATGTCTGTGTTAGAGGCCCATAGTATTTTTTCTGTTTATCTATTGGATAGTTTTTGATTCCACTGTTAATAATTTGGTATAAAATGGTTTCTCATACTTGATTTGTGATATATTCTGGGAATACGGCTTTTTCTTCAATAAAACTTTGTTTTTCCCTCCCAAGTTTTATGTATTTTAAACATGTAAATGGGATTGTATTTTAGAGCCAGCAGAGCTATTTTTTAACTTTAGGTTAACATTGTTTTGGAATGAGGCATTTTTAATTTGCCTTTAATTTGCCCCTTTAAAAGTTTATATTTTTATAGGCTAGCAATGGACATATGACCCAAGCTATGTAGGAAGTTGAAATTAATTTTAATAATATGTTTTACTTAACCCAGTGTGTCCAAATTGTCATTTCCATATATTCTCAATATTAAAAAATCATTAGTAGGATATTTTATGTCCGTATGTATTTTACACTTATATAGACATCTCAATCTCATGTGATTTTTCATTGGAAATACTTAATCCATATTTAGATTTCATAAACATTGTTTTCGAAAAAATAAATTCTTAGATTTCATAAACATTGTTTCAAAAAAATAAATTCAGTTAGTCAAGGTTATTCAAACATGTTTTCTAGTAACTGCTTTGTTTTTTGTTTTGTGATGCTGAGGATCAAACCTAAGGCTCTGTGCATGCTAATCATGTGCTGTTCCACTGAACTACACCCCACCCGTTTTCTAATAACTTAAGTATCAGTTTTTACATTTAAATTAGGTACTTTCCTGCTAATGGTTCCTTGTTTTCATTTGCTTTGCTGCAGTCTGTCCTGGAACTTGTCAAGGGTCCTAGCACTTTGACTCTTGGGGTACCTATGAATGACTGGGGAAGAGGAAATTCAGATCTCATGGTGGAATTGACTCCATGTTTATTCATAGGCTGAGAAATAGGATCCTGGACAATTTGCTAGTAATCATGAAGGATCCTGCCCTGCTTGCCTGTCTGTCCTTCCTTCCTTCCTTCTTTTCCTTCTTTACCTTCTTGACCTTCTTTCCTTCCTCTTTCTTTTTATGAAAGAAAACATGGGGTAAAGTGGTTCCTTCTTGGACATTTGGGTGGGTTCAGTTGCAATTGCATTTCTTTAATTGACTCCTCTTTTCTTCTTGTTGACTCTTGCTGTGGGAGAAAAAGCCTCAGTGTATTTGTCAGTATTCTTCAGAGACAGACAATAGAATACAGCAGGAGGAAGGAGGTAAAGAGTGGGGCATGGGACAACAGAAGGAATTTAGTATAGGGTATTGGCGCACACAGTTCTGAAAGCTAAGTCCCTTGATCAGCTGTCTGCATCCTGGAGATCCAGGACAAGTAGGGTTGTTGTTAGAAGGCCCAGAGTCAGGAACCAGTGGTGTAGATCCCAGGGTGAGTCTGAGGGCCTGAGAACCGGGAGTGGTGAGGACAGAGATCTTCATCTCAGCTCAGAGTCTGGTAGGGACAGAGCAAGTTCAGCCACCTTCGTGTTCTGTTCAAGCCCTCAGTAGACTGGGTATGCCCACCCATGTTGGGGAGGGTAATCTGATTTACTTAGCCCACAAATTTGAATGCTGATCTCTCCTGGAGATGCTCTTACAGACACACCTGGAAATAATGTCTAACCAGGGATCCTGTGACCTAGTCAAGTTGACATGTAAAATGAACCATCATAGTATGGTTGCCAGGCTTCTCAAGAGAAGCTCAGGAAACTAGACTTTTATATGGATTCTTTTGATTTTTAAAGATTAGCAGCTAATCACTAACACAGTTTTACTTCAGAATACATGAATGTCAAACAGGTCCTGTCTGCAGGCTAGGTCTGGCTTAGATCACTAATTTATAATACAGTACTGTAGCATTTTTGGACACAGAGCTTGACTGTGAGGTAAAAGTCCTCAGCAGTGATAGTTGCTTTATATCATTCCAGTCAACTTTCTTGCATTCTCTCTCTGTTTTTTTTTTTTGGTACCAGGAATCAAACTCAGGACCTTGCATTTGCCAGGCAGGCACTTATGGCACTGAGCTATATCCCTGGCCCCTTGCATTCTCCTTTTGGAACATGTGCAGTGTATCTGAGTTAGGCTACA